GGGGATTCAGGTTTATTACTGTTGTCTTGGTATCGATACCATTCGAAGGACCTACACGTGGGTACACGAGAATTTCAGTTGCTTTTTCCACACATTTTTCGAATTGATGAAAATTTTTACATTTTCATTTCAATTTTGTAGTTTTATAATTATTTATTTCTCGAATATTGAATGATGATGGAAATACCGAAGATTTATATCCGGAGATTTGAGAACACGTGGAGGCTTTCCAAAGTTTAATTAGAATTCTTGAATTTCTCCAAAAATTTCCCCATCGATTTAATTAATGTTGAGTGAGACTTGACGAGTGAAAATCTCAAATTGTATACGAATATATCTAATCGCTCGGGTCGATGGTTGACAGTCAATTTAAATAGTCAGTAAATGAGAGAGCTAAGCGCATAAATTTCGTGATCGGTGTGGGGACCAGTTGGAAAGAGAAATAGATTTAAAAAAAAAATAAATTGAAAGGAGAACGATATAGGAAATCATGCGAAAAGGAGCAGGGTCGAGAGAAACATTTCACTAGACAGTGGTGAAAGTAGCCGAAAGTGAAGTTGCCTCATATCCAAGGACTGGGCCAACGAGAACCAGTCGTACAATTATTTTTTATTCCAGTATTTTTCACCGTCATTGCCAAATTGAGAAATACACCGACCCGGTGTGCGAAAAATCCCGTGAATTTTTTTATCAGTACTTGTGCTCCAGAGCTGTTGAAAATTAATGTACATCTGTTTGCCAGCTGTTTGACTTCTCCAGAGGATCAGTGGAGGATGTATACGTGTAAATATTAGTACTCAATGTCATTAGACCGATTAATGCCCTCATCACTGATTAAACCCGGTCTTGAAGAAATCTCGCCTGTCAACGCCAGACGCTGTGGTCTGAACAATGCCGGAATTAACTACTCGCGATCATTTCCACTGGTGATTTTGAAAAACTTTGATGATGAACTATCGCATATATTGGGGAAATATTAACGATACCACTGAATAAATACCCATCACTCAAGGTCGAGTAATTCCATTGAGATTGATAAAACAAGGGCGCTCGAAAACAGATATCTGGCGTTGAGTCGATCCTCAATGGAATTGAAAACCTTTCAAAATTTTGTTTATCAAATTGGCAAACGCCAAGTGGCCACTCCATTGATATTTCCCCTGAAATATTCATTACGCGCGATTTTTTTTTGTGGTGCAGAATAAAATAGCGACAAGTCTCGTGAGGATAAATAAATTTTGGTGATAAAAATTGAGCTTGAGCCATCGATGCACCACAAAATAAAAATGAGAATGATAAATGTGGTGTATTATTAATGTTTCAAAGTCATTGATGATTGTATAGTGGTGTAGAGCTAAGCAAGAAGTCAAAAGCACACACGACACAGGAAATGGCGTAGTACACAAGGACGAAACATTCACGACAACGACTATGCTAACGAGTCCTCTCAGTCGGCTCAACATGGATAAATAATAAGTAGCAAAAAGATGGATAAAAAGGTGATGATAGAATATTATGATGACTTACCCTTAAGAGAGGATGTTATCATAGGATCACCTGGAAAAAGTTATTGCATTAAATTAGACAATAATTGTCCGAACAAGCGATAAATATTGTGAATATTTACTGTTGATATTGATGGGTTATTTGAATAATTATAAATAAATGCTCTTACCAATTGATACTAAAGCGTATAACAATGATAAGTCGATAAGTGATGATTATAATTGAGCAAAGTGGTACATATCCTGCGTTTTAAATGGGTTATTAGGAAATAGAGATGCGCACCACCGCATGCGTTATCCTGTAACGTTTTATTATCCTCGTCAGCGAGATGGAACGGCTTGCGAGTGGCCAAGACGTGTCCTTGGTCTTAAAAAATGTGCACGTGCTACCAGGTTGCTTAGATTTTTCCAAGATTGTTAGCCACGCGATAGTTAGACTCTAATATACATACCCAGAGATACAAATACCATCCTCACGGGCAATATACCATGCGTGAAAGGCTTCCCTTCATTTGAAAAATATATTCCAACGCATTAGTTAATATTTTCATGAATACCGAGTTGCAATTTGCCGGATGGACTGAGTATCTCAGTATTCTCATGAAATTCAGTAAACAAACAGGTATCTATATCTGAATCAAGCCAATTCGTATACAAAATGCTTTCTTATTCACTATAAATTCACCATTATGTAATTTTTCCAGTTGTACCGTGAATACGGATTTTTTTTTTGTCGCGGAAAAATGCCAAGTGATTTGTGTACGTGAATTTCCGTTTGCAATTGCAGTTATATGAGCAACGTGTAATAAGAATAATGGAATATAAAGGGGATAGAGTATGTGAGATTGTTATTTTTCGGTAGATACGGGAGAAATATACATTTATATTTATCTGAGACGTGCGAGAAAGATAAAAAATATTGAGGAAGTGTTCATAAATAATTCATGTACGCATAGAATCTGTCAGTTCCACGAGAATAAACTTGCAACGCTGGTGACGATGTCACTGTCGTTTTGTACCCTATCTACTGCGGCATATTTTTATTTTTCTCTTTTTATATTGTCTGGTTATTTGTAATCCATTTAAGGATGAGTGTGGCGTGTTGAACGTAAGACACGATTTACCACAAGCTCTTGATGCATTACCCTAATGAATTAGCTCAATTCTACTCATTCATCCTTGGGGAGAGTTATTCCAGTACCTGAGTGTCCATCGTAAGGTATACTCTGACGTCTGATGGTGTTTGACAAACGTTGATAATCCGATTGTGACTGGAGATGATGCTGATGATGGGACGATGTCTCTTGCTGGCTCGACTGTATCGACATTGACTGTTCACCAGATGTTGATAAGTACGATTGGTTGCCATTCAATGAGCTTGATTGATGATTGTGAGGATGATGATGATGATACGGTAGTTGATACTGAGACTGCTGATGAAGATTGTACTGATGATGCGGATAATTCATACCCCACACGTAGTGCTGCTGCCAGGAGGCGCCAGCCTCTGTCTCAGACATGCCCTTACTTTAGAATATATTATCTCTTGGATCTATCGTTGCACTTTTTTCTTTTCTTTTCTTTCTACTCAATAATTGTTTTAATTCTTCAATAATTCTTGAATAACGAGGGGATGTCCATGCTTGTTCTATTCTTCAATCCATGGACAACTGAATATCGGAAAGAGCATGTTGTCAAATATAAACACGTCCGTCTAATGATTTTTTTTCTTTTTTAAATGCTAATCATACCGTATCAGTGAGCAGGTGCATCTCCATTGTTGTTCTCACGATTTCCAGTGGTTTCTCCTTCTCAGATTATTCACTAAATCGCACGACTACCGATTAACTGATTGGATTGGACAATTCGGCAATGAAATCCCAAATAAACGATATCACTCATGAATATCTTTCATGAATGTCTATAGATGAAGCTTTTTTCTCATTCCAACGGATTTTAGATGCGAGCCAATGGAAAAGAAACCGATTTGAATTAATTGAAATGCAATTAATACATAAATAAATAATCAGTAGCAAGTAGTTATCTTTATCTTTCGCACACTCAGCCACTCATCACTCTCTCGCTAATTCAATCACTCATAAATAACAATCTCCCTATTGTTACTGATAATGCCGGGGTTCACCTTGATGCTCTTTTAATTAATCGATGTATCAATCACGTTGGAGATCATTTGAAGATGTGATTGTGGCAATTGTTTAGGGTACGTTGAGTATAGAACGGGCTCTGACGAACAACTGAGCCAACGATTTAGCAAGGAGGGTCGACTGGGGCGGCTTGGCGAGGGCAAGCTGAGGATGATGGGGGTTGCTGGCGGTGAGTTGCTCCACGTGCACAATCAGGCACGTTTCCATGTCACGTGCCCTCACCATCATCATCTCTCACTTTATTTTAGATTCTTTTTCATCAATAATCATTCAACCTCCACACATCCATAGCATATCATTCGAGGGATGATCTGTTCATCTCTGCTCTCTGGTAATCTGTATCACCATTCATTTTTCTTTTCGTTTATTTTATTTTTGTCACAAACTCGAGCGTTGTCCCAGGTCATGTCGACGATTTGTGTCATTCTGGGACATTGCACTTACGCTAAATCAGAAAGCTAATGGACAGATTGATAAACACTTAGATAAGCGGATAGAAACGAGACTGCTCACTGGATTTAACACAACTTTTGTGATGCTGGGATTTTAAAATCGCTGTGATTAGTCGTATCTTTGGAGGCATCATCCAAAATACAATGCCCTATTTTTGGAATTCAGTGTTGGAATTCTCTTCGGTGAATTGTATTGTTGGATTGAAATATCCACGTTTCAAATAAATCGTAAAGTATTCCGGTGAATCTATTCGGCAAGAGCACGCTGTGGTCCACGTGACTACATTTTCCACCCCATCCATTATGCACTCCCTCTCTCGTCCTCAAAATACGCATTATCGAGCTCACTGCGCCTTAATTAATTGGTAATTAATAGCCTAGAGTTTCGTATTTTTGGTATTCATTGTGGTATTCACTGGAGTGTCGAGGGGTAAATGTCAACGTTAAATCGTAGAAAATCCGATGAATCGATGGAAGTCAGTCATGCGTGCCGGTCTCATTCGTATATCGTTTCAATTCAATACGAAATCTCGCGTGGAGTCAATTTATATTTTAATCCTCAGGTGCTTCGTGTAGTCCAAGGGTAGTGTCCACTGGGCCTCGAGGGGTTCTTTTATTTTTTCCACAGAATTATTCTTTATCTCCACCCACGGGAAATTGATTTAGTCCTTCTATTTCTGTTTATCAATGCCTCCGGTTTAGTGTCGATGTAGACGATACTTTGTATTAAAATATCATTGGTTATCGTAATGTGGGAAAACCAGTAATTCCGGGAAGGTTGTGCATCAAGAAGTCACGAGGCATGTCGCGTGAACGCACTTTCATCCCCCTTGCCTCCATTCATCGTACTTGCAAAGTACCGAGGTGTTTCACCGTCAAATGGAGCACTTGAAAGGGCAATCCCCTCCTCTCCCCCAGGTTTTCTCAAATACCGAGTATATTTCCACCGAAAGACATCGCCGGTGTAATTACCATGTATAATCTGCGGATCTCCTTTACCCTTGATCTCCGGAAATGGCGTCACTGGAGTGAATGCTATTGTAGGTGAACCATACCTCTTTTTTTTTTTTTTCCTCTCATTTTTCACTCATCTCCACTATTTTCCTTCTCTTCTTCACGTGCTATGATCTAGATTTTAGCTGGCCACCGTTTTTTTAGGAAATCGGATACGTTTAAATTACTGGGGTAATGGTGGCTATTATTTTCGTTGTAACTCGGGAGGGGATTATCAACTGTGATTACCAACTGCAATGCCAGTTTGCCCCGGCGTTTAGTTGAGTGAGTGATGCTGCAAGGACACCGGATGTAAAAACCAGCACGATTTGATGATCTACCCGCGACACTTTCCCACGTAATTTACTTTATAGTCTTTACCGCCACCTTTGGTTATCCTACTGGTGTAATTCCTTCTATTATGCGCATATATTAACATTCAGCATTGCTATTGATTATTTCAATCGCTGAGATTTTCTGTTAGTGGGGATTTTAGTGGAAATTTATAAGTCCTCACCGGAAATGAGAAAAATGGATAAAAAAAAAATTGTCAGGATATGGGGGGTAATTATGGGTAACAATACACGCGAATCACACCGAATTGCGGACAATATCTATTGTGAGTTATGTAACGATGGGTTTTCTATGTTGGTGGGGTACTTTGCTGATCCTGTGAGCAGCCTTGATTTTTCTTCCATTCAACATTGTCCGGTTAATTCAACATTACGTGGATTACAATAAATTGATGTAAATGTGCATTTTTTTTTTTTTGAAAAAATTGAGAAATTTATCGATATCGAGAAATATCGGCTCGCGATAGGAGTGATTGCTCAGTGAATTGAGTGATGCGCGGTAGAAAAATTTTTTGGGCTTTTCCGGGGAATTTTCCTCTGCCCTCATGTTAACAGATCAACAGCTGGTTTGATCTAGCTTTTGAATATCGTCACTAGGTGTCAGTGGAGAATGAGAGTGATTTCTGCTGCCCTCTACTGATTCCAAGTAAAATGAACGTTTTTATATTTTCCCCACTCCCACGTGCTCGACACCCACACAACCTGCGATTTTTTATAATCACGTGGGCTTGTAATTCTCTCTGAAACATTCTACTCTGCAGAGGTGTATAATGGATATGAAGGGCCCAGTACTCTGGTCCATTGTACTTAGCATGAATGAGCTTAAATTAAAAGCAACTCGGGAGGTGAATGGAAGGCAGAGCCGAGGCAATACTATGCGAGAAATTTCCTACTTTTGCATTACTTCTCGTCAATTGACAAGTTTTTAAAAAAAAAAACGTACCTGATGCTCTTTCCAGGGCATATCTCGATGCGCGTTGCCTCGTTTCCATTTTCCAAATTTCAATCAGTTGTTTATACAGATATTTCTTCGGTTTACCGATTTATGATTGATTATCTAGATACTAGTACAAACCCAATGATGAGCGGGAGAACTTACCTGAAAGCAAAAAAGAAAAATCATTGCAATTAACGAACTTGTGGATATCGAAGGGACTGATTAAAAATAACAATAAAGCTTGAATATTAAGAAAAAATGAATCTGTTTCCATGACAACAAACATCAATAACAAAATATTTCAAGGCATATGCGCATTCATATTCAAATTCGACAGTTCAATTCACATTTCTCCATGAAATACCAGATTAAATAAAATTCCTTTGATGATAATAATAATGAGTTAAAAAAATTGAAAATAAGTGAGAGGGACTGGGCAATTGGGAAAATAAAAAATAATGGCACCATCGAAAACATCGAATTTTGAGAGGCTAGTGGTGCACGCTATAAAGAGACTTCAAGACATTCAGGGTTCAACATCTAAGGAGATAAGTAATTGGTTGGCCCAAGAGTATCAGGTACCGGTTGAAGAAATAAAGAGGCAGGTACGTCTTGCTCTTCGTCGTGGCACAGATTACGGGATTTTGACGCGTCGAAAAGGGTGTGTTATCAATTTACACTAATTATCATCCGACAAAATGTTGATCAAACAGACTGGTGTACGTGTGTTTGTACGGTTACAGGGGAATTTATGTGTGCGATCGCGAGTCTCACCAGGTGAATTCAGCTCGAGGAGATGATGCCCGCGAGTGTAATACGGCGTACAAGAAATTGCGGGCCTGGAGGAAGAGCAGGGGTAGACGGAGGAAGTCGTCGAGGGGTAGGGGCCGACGGGGCAGAGGTCGCAAGCGAAAAAGAAGCGGAAGTGGCAGGAAGCGGAAGAGATCGGGAAGGAGATGAGGCATGTGTTATCGCGGCGCGATTATCATGAATTTTGGCGATTTTTATGAAAAAAATTGGTGGAAAAACGAGGAGGCAAATTCCAGGGACTGTGGCTTCCCGGTGCGGCCGTCCCTGGGACACACGGCCTTGTCGGCTAATGATAGTACCGCTAATGATGCGTTCACACACGCTCACGCATCTACATGCCCTATCCATTTGAACGCGCACGTAAATATAGTCATTCCATCCCTCAACACCCAAAAATACTGGGAACATCAGGAAGACTTCTAGTCGTGAGGAGATAATAAATTCATGGGGAGCATTAACAATCGGTCTTTTTTTTTTTCTCAACGTTCATCAACTTTCTCTTTCAGTGGAAATGGATTTTTTTTTCGCTGATGGTATTGGTTGCAATTATTTTCCCCGTTGGCAAGTGACAAAAGGCTGCGCGTTAACCCGAAAATATCCATCTCATGTGCGGTATGTCGAAATCTGGCATAAGTTCTGGCACCAAGCCCAAGACACGTCTTGAGTTTTCTTTGGCGTTGGCCTATCCCTGGGGTTGTATTAGAGGTAAAAGGCGAATGGTAATGGTGGTGATGGTGTAAAGTGCACGAGGAAACAGACTTGAAACGAGAGAGAAAAAAAATGAGGTGGAATGAATGTCGATGGAAGAGACTTGCGAATATGTAGTTGTGTTTATTCATCTATTTTCACTGGACCCCTGTCTTTCGCACTCCGTCCGTCAAACATTTTGACATTCGTTCCAACTCAGAGGCAAATGGAAATAATAAACCCGATGAATTATCACTTTGAGATGCTGAACGTTTGTAAAGTAAATTTGCGGGTGGAGGAAGCGACTTGTTTTTTTTTTTTTAATCACTACTCGATGGAGCATTAATTTGATGTGTCATTGTGTTAATGGTCTTTGGTATAATTTATCGATAGGTTCGGCGGGTTATCTCGAGACGGAAATGTCGAGTCCCACGAAAAATCCAATGCCGCTATTTTTATTGGGAGGAGTTGAGCGCCTATTGGGGTGGAGAATGAAATTCCGTTTGTTATCAACAAGGGAATTAGACCCTCGAATCGATTAAACAAAGCGTGTGAAAAGTTGGTCGCAATGTGCTCCGTACACTGTGACGCAATGAATGACCCTTGAGTATATGCACATACTTGGATAATATCGGGGATCAAGTACTTAAATAAAGTAACGGAGTAATGTGGTGTAGAGATAGTTACAACAGGCTAGAGTTGACAGTGAAACAGGCAGACAATTTTCTCATAAAAAAATTAAACAAAAAAAACGATCCATTGATTTGCTCATTCACCAATACTCCAATTCAACAATAAATGTACGTCATACATCTTTCGTATTGTCAATAAATTCGTAGACACTTCAGCGTTTTTACCTACACGAGTGTAAAAAAACGTTGAATTTGGCTGCTGGATGACTGGCTGGATTGTTCACACCTTTTCGAACGCTTTTTCCTTATCTGGAATATAAAAAGACTCTCTCGCATACGTTCGGGTATTCACTCTTATCACAGACAAAAACGATACGGCACATAACGCCACCATGAGTACGCAATAAATTTATTTCCACCGAGAGAAAAAAAAAACTATAAAAAAAACAAAATGCAAATGATAATATTAACGAAATTCCATCATCATCCGACGCTGTCGTCATTCAACATTGAAAATACCATAAATCAGTTGATTTTATTTAAGCCGGGATCCCCAGAGACTATTTTAGAAACATAATAAATCACCTATTATTCCCAGAATGCAAGGAAAAAGTCCCACCGATGGAAAACCGCAGTCGACGAGTTAATACGAACATTTTCTCCTGCACTGAAAGTGTTCATTGTGGAATGGTCATTGGACTTTGATTTTATCCGCTCTAAAGTACAGAGTGTTAACAAAAAAATAAGAGAAAAAATTTGTTGGGCTAGTTAAGGTCAGGTTAGACATTCTCGAGGCGTATCACGTGGTTTGCCACGGGGTCTCTACACAGTATAAACCGTAAAAACCGAACGAGGTTAATCTAGAGCCCAGAGCTGATTCAAGCTCATACCGCTTTGCGCCGGCGCAAAGTCGATTTCCACACATTAACAAATTAACACATTAACACGAGGGTGGACAACATTTATCGCACAATTTTTTATCTTTTTCTTGCATTTCCCCCTCATTTTCTTGGCAACAACAATACCTCTGGTACACATTTTAAATCGACAAGGGAATATTTTTATCGTCACTATTATTACTCATTTTTTGGCACTAAAAAATAGCGTCAATCTCCATAAATAAATACGAAGGGAATGGACCGGCAATTATGGTGGGAGGGAGGAGGGGGTGTTTATTTGACAATTTGGAGCGGGAGTTTTTATGATTTTCGGAGTGAGTGATGGGGGTTTGATGACTTGTCACGATTTTGGAGTGAGTGGGAGTGATTTTTTTTTTTTTGCCATGGACTCCCGGTGTTTTATGGATTGGGTGCAATGGTTTATGATGAAAGGGAAAACGTGTACTCACCGATCAACGGAAAAATACTGGGCTGGTCAAGTAGCGACTTGAGGCCGTTTTCAACGAGGGTGGGAGATGAACGGTCCTTGTCGCTCATTTCACGCACTGCGCCACAAAACGACGACAGGAGTAGAGTCCAACAAAACACCACACACGAGGGATACAATTTATTAAGAATTTTTAACACGATGGGGTGGTATTACTCAGGGGTGGGGAAAATTCAAAGCGAATGTAATTGAGTTGTCAACCGAGTAACAGACGGAGTTATTTGAGCCAGAGCACAACCACGCGTACACCTAAATAATTCTTAACGATTTATCAGTAAAACACTATTTTTTATACTCTCAATGAAGCTTTAACACTCGATAGATAACTCTCTCAGGTAAAAATAAATGTTATCTCATGATTTTTGGTTTATCAAAAATGTGTGTCAACAATTTTATTAACAAACAACTTGGTAACAAGAGCCACGATTATTATTTTTTCTTTTTGTTTAATTTCGAACTGCGGATGGGAGAGTGATAAGTGGTGTTAATAATGCGCCGGTGCTAGGTGGGTGGAGGGCTTTGAGTTTGTGGGTACGGAGGGGAATTTTTATGGGCTCTTTTTTAACGATTCTTTTTCAAAATAATTTTGAGATTATTATATTTTTTTGGTCACCGGCACAGAGAGGCCCTAGAGCACACCCGACACCGGACCGCGTATCGCTACGAGTCACTCACGGCACTCGTTGCTCTGTGGCACATTAAAATAACGTTGTGAGGCACACCGTGTGTTCTTGAAAATCAATCTATTACAGTGACACGTCTGTGCTGCCATCTTTCCCTCTTCTGTCAAATCATTCGTTGCCGAACGTGTCATCTCCGTGGCTCCTCGGTACACTAGGTCCCCTCATCCCTTCATCCCCTAATAATTACTAATAAAATAAAATAAAATAAAACCTAATAAAATTCATGTATTTACTCTAAAACATTCTTTTATTCTTTCATTTATTGTCGTGATCCTCAGGTTTTCACTCGAGATAATATTATAAAAAAAAATAGGATCACTGATAATTTACAAAATTGACGGCGGTAGAAATCACTGGAGCGGACATTGAGAGGCGTATATTAAAAATAATTATAGTACAATTAGAATTTAATCGTGGCAGATACGAAAGCACTTATGATAGTAACGTCGATTTGTCTCAATGAATGTTATCTTACAATCGTTATGACAACGGTTTAACACATGATCGTGGATAATTATACCCAAACACTGAGCGACTCGACGTTGGACCGATTGGGTAAAAATCCATTAGTGTATTTCTTGAGGAGTGTTTGGAGCTCAACGGGAGTTGAGGACCACCTCCTGTGCTTTGTTTTGTCAATTGGCACTCTTGGCAGGCCGATTTCCGTGTGACAGCCCTTGATCGGGGAGAGAACAGTGGGTAGGCCGACATCCTGAAACGAATTCATCGATGAAAATCCACTCTCATCATCCCTACAATTAACATTATTTGTTTTATCGTCTTTGAGCGTCGTGAGCCTGTCATCTTTGACTGTTTTCTTAGACTTGGGACGTGGCGTTGAGCTTCCTGTTTGCTTGAACAATTGCTTTGAAATAGAACTCAGTGGTGAATTTATTTTCACCTCGTTCTCTGTAATTGTTTTGCACTCGGCGTTTAGAAATGTCGAGTTGAGAGATCCAAAGGATAATTCATCGTCGATGAATGAACAGTTGCTGATTAATGTCGAGTTGGCGCCCTTTGAATCGTTGTGAAATTGGCTGGCTATGTTGTTGTTGTCGTCGTCAATTGCATGCTCGTGGGTGGAGGAGGCACACGAGGAAGAGGATGCCGAGGAGAAGGTCGATGAGAACGAGGAAGAGGAGACAATTGCGAGGTCTGGATGGCGCATCGATAGGAGAGACTCCACTGTTCTCATTAATCTGGAAAAGACCATTAATAGATCGTTTATATCCTATGAATTCCCCACCGAAGGTAGACTGTGTATTTTATTTTCATTGAGAAGAATTCAAGGGAGAAAATAAAAATATTGCTCAAGTACTTGGAAATCCTTGAAGTGAATAGCGAGTGGATTCGCTCAGTTACTGTGATTTTATGAGGCACATCGAAAGATACTCAGAATACTGAGTGAAATTCATGGATATTTTTCCCTCTTTTTATAGCTCAATGTTTATTATTTTTCCACATGACTGTTAAAGCAATAATTAAGCAAGTTTATGAGGTAATGAGATGATAGGTAAATGGTATGGCAACATACCTAAATGCCTCCTGGGATAATTTCTCCGTTGGTACATGGTCTTCATCCTCATCGGCATCTCCATCCTTAGTGGGTCGTCTATAAACAACACCGTCGTGTGTCTTATTGAGATCCTCCTTGGTCTTGAGATCGTTTTTAACTCTCGGTGGTGTACAATGGGCGGGATCATTCCTCCTAAGTACAGACCAGGTGAATTCTCGCAATCCCGAATAGCTGTTTGTGGGAATTTGCGTTACAGATTTGGCACGGGTAAATCGAGAGCTCGTTACTGGAGATGTTACTGCAGATGAATTTGGCGATGTTTCATCGATATAGACACTCTGACATCGATTACTACGGGCTGATGGGCCTTTGCTGCGATTAGCATTTTTTTCATTAACATAATCAAGACTTTTTTTCGTACGGTCCAGAAAACGCGCAACCTGACGCATGAGAGATCTGTACATCTGTTGGTTCGCTTCAGCCTGAAGAGAAATAACAGTGATATTGCTGGAAATTGAATAATATACAAATAATTTGGGGATCATTTTCTCCGAGTTATTTACCTGTTTCAACTGCCACTTGAGGGTATCCACCTGCGTCTGGAGCAGTACATTGTCCATTACTTGAATTCTCGGTGCCTGATTTGTCTTGAGAACACTGTGCAGCCTCTGGTTCTCTTCTGTCAGTGTCTGACATTGCTGTAATTGAGACAGTAATGAAACTGTGTATCACCATTTTATCACTGATATCTCCAGTGATTGTCTACTTAATATTATTTCAATTCAGCGATAAAATCAAAAGTCAACTCCATCATCGCGTTTTAACGAACAAAGGCCTTTCACTTCTCAACCCACACGGGGAGGCACGTCCTATACCGCCATTTACAAACCGAGCAAAAGCACGCACCGAACTAAAGAAAAGAAAATTCACCATAATCGTTGAAAGAGGAATAATGAAAATAATCATTAAAAAAACATTGAACGTACTAACGTAACTGTAATGTACACCGGATTATTTCGATAGAGTTGAAAACACTGTACATATCCCTTCATGGTATTTCCATACAATGAGATTGAAGGATTTTGAAGAAAACAAGTTGCGTGATCTATCCGGCGATCTCGGTTGAGATAGAGTAGAATAGGGTGATGGTGATGAAAGACGAGGCAAATAATAATAATGAGTTATTGTGAAAATTACGTTGATGAAGAGTTGAAGAGGGACCGTATGAAAATGGCGATCGACGGCCGACGGGGGTGGGAACAAGTCCGGGGCAGGTCTAGGATAATGGTCGGTGATTTTTTTTTTTTTTTTTTGAAAAATCCGAGGCAAATAGATTGTAAATTAATGGGGATCGCACAGAGTCGAGCTGTGGACATTTTTTCGAATGTCCTGCGCTGGCAAAAGCGGATGGGGTTACGCATGGTTGCTCACCCTGAACCGTCCACCGTCCGGATGAATACTATCATGACGTCATCTGCTACGGTCACTGCTTGAATTATTCAGCGTACATGATAAAAAAACCGAAGGGGGGTAGTACAACCATTGAACACAACCTGTACGTGTTGCGTTGAGTAAAAGAAAAAAATATAGAATTTCTGAGTGAAACTTGGGGGATCGTTTCAAGGGCCGTCCTTTGAACTGTTTAAATTGAAATAGCCTGTTGTATGAAATTGAATGGGACCACCGTGAAATATATGAACTCTACCTATATCCAGAGATATGTCGGGTGAGTCTCGGAGCGCAATGAGACCGAGCAATTTATTTTTGGTGCATTCCAGGGGAACGGTAAGAAAATATCCGCGGCCTCGCGGCGCTTGAACCGTTCTCTCCGGTCAAATATCTATATAGTCTAGGTTTTGTACTGTGTATCCCTCACTGGTTAAGGATGGAATGCTGGGGAAGGTTTAAGACACGCCTGCGTTAGGCTATACTTCAGTAATGCAAACGATCAATTTTTGCGGTTCTCTGTACAGTTCCATCTGCACTTTTTAGACGGTTTATTATATACTCGGTGTGATTATAGGTGTGCGGAGGGAGATAGCATGTCTAGTTTCCTTTTCTATTATGTCTCCCCGCATGTTTATAATATAGTTTTAGGTATCCGGAACAATAACGTTCCGTCTTACGCTCCAGTTATCCGGGTTTACTCCGTTTAATTCTCTCTGGTTCAGAGTGAATTCGTTTTTCTTTTATTGGTTCAACATCCTGTTTGATTTTCTTGATAACACAAGATCTCGGGGATTTTTAGAGTTTACCGATTTGTTTGAGGTGGGGGTGGAGATCATCCGGTAAATGGCGGAGATTCCGCACGTGGTTGGCATTCTGGTATTTTTAACTGGCGCGATATAGATTTTTTTTTTTAATAAAGAGGTGGATAAAAAATGAGTGGAACAGCTGAGAATGGGAATGGTCATGGGAATGAGATGGAGGCACGCCGGATGGATATCGTGTATCAAATGGGGATATCTGTTCTCATGATATCAATGATCTGTTCGGGCACAATGAAGAATCTCTTATTACTCTAGCGCCAAGGATTCTTCTCACCTTATTCATTTAATGTATGTGGATGGATTTTCTCGCACTCGAGTCGACCTCATCCATAGCTTTCACCAGGCTTCTGTTTTTTTTTTAGTATGAAATTATGATGCTTTCCACCGCACGGCTGTTTTTTTTATTCATTCTATTTCTATATCCATTCGATTTTATACGTTTAGTTTAGATAGACGCGGGCGATTATATTAATTGAATCTCAGGATAAATCGAAAATAAATTGAGAATAAATCGAGAATACATCGAGGATAAATAAGTGAACCTGTGGTTTGAGTTGACACTGAAATATCGATACGACGCATTCTGCATAACAGGTATTTCTCGGTTATACCTGGATTGTATACAATGGGCTAATAGTGTCCTGGGACAACCCCAAATGAAAGCCTCTGGGTGGGAACTATTATTATGCACAATAAGAAGAGTACACATCGGCAAAAATGAGTGACGATGAAAACTGTATCGCTTGAACAATGCCACCGAGGATTAATTTTTCGTCAGTGGGAAAATTCACGTGGCAATTCTCTGCACACCATTATTGTTATACCGTGCACCTGTTCTCGTTTAGCAAATATGAGATATCACTTCGGTGAATTAACATTTGAACTTGTTTCCACAGGCATCAGTGGTGAAATGTCGAGAGGGGAAATTTTACAGAAGGCTATTATCCGAAAAAGGGTAGAATTAAAAGAGACGTTGTGACGGATTGAGAACGAGTTGAGATGAATATTTTTTTGAGACTTGTGTTAAATAATAGAAACGAGTTTTACGGAGTTTAGGGTTTCGAGGACACAATCGTAACCGTTCAAATGTACATCGGTGTTGATAATAATTACAGGAGGGGCTGGAGCGAACTTCCGGTCCGACGAAACCTCCAGAGAGTCGAATTGCCCTGGCAATCCTTTCACTCGTGTTCCCCCCATACGTCATAAAATCGTACGATTTGAATAAAATTCTCGTAGTGAGGCATCAACAGAACAAAAAATCTTGTAATTTTTCTAATTTAGTGTGGCATTTATCATGACACTTGGGATTTCTCTTTGTTCATTCACACGCAAACCGAGGACGGGATGCACCTGTTCCGGAAATCGTTCCCTTCACGCGGATCTGTCTCTGTCTGCCCCCATGTGTTATCCCACTTCCTACAAGATTGTTTTAAATAATAATTCAAGGTAATTTACCTTACGCAGGTGATTCAACTCGCTGGCATCAGCTTCATTCACCAGTGATTCCTAAACAAAGACCGAGTTAATTATGAAAGTTTGCCAATTACTTGGTAATTATTTCATCCAACGCCCCCGTAAACAAATAAATCGATACTCACTTTGGTCGGGAAGGCGTCGATGCTGCCGAAGATTTTCGTTGGGCTCTCGAAATTGTTCAACGAAAAGTAATTGTTGTTACTCGTTATCGTATCGGTGGAGAGATTTTTCTCCGAATTATCATCATTCATTAAATCCGTGTAGTCACTATCCAGGGAATTCATATCACGACAATTGGACACGAATGAACGCGCGAATGAGCTTTTGAAGAAATTCCCGGGGGAAACTTCCCTCCCGAGTTCAAACTCTACCTTTGGCTTATTCTCCTCCATAATTATTCACTTTTACACTAATTACGGGGATTGGGATTTTAATTGATGGATTTCATTGACTTTTAAAAAATTAACACTAGCACTTTGGTATCACAATGATTCTGCAACACTTTTTTCGGGCTTCAGAGTTGTTTGTCATTTGTGGAAATCCAAGAATCGTTGTTGTTGTTAATTTTTAAGGTTTATTTGTTGATTTCGAAGACACGACTTAACTGCATGAGGACTGAGAAGTGACTACCCCACCGGTCGACGCCGCAAAGCCCAACGCTACGGTGTTTCCCCTTCCATTTTCATTACCTGCCCCATGACGACCATTCAACAATATTCAAAAAATTCATTCTGCAATCCCATGGAATTAATCCGAAATCACTGTTAAATCCTGCGTAATCAAGGGGCTTTACTCGAATTGTGCAAAGTATTGGGCAACTGATAGGCGATTCTAGAATTTCAAAATCCAATTTTTCCATCAACCAACGGTTCATTTCACATTTATTTTCCCAGTAGATGATAATAAAACCGACAGCAATGGGAAAATTACGGAGAGAAAAAAGAATTCTTCTCACTCCGGCCCATGATGATTTCACGTGTATTCGCCTGGCGGATGATAATGAAATCGTGAGGAAGTAAAAAAAATGGAAATGGAAAATTACGCGAAATGGTGTCGATTTAAGAATGATGTCAGTAGCCCCTTGTCGACGCCATTGCGAATTTACTAGTACTCGGTTACCTGACTCATTAAGCAAATGTCCCGGAAAATGATGAAATAGGTTCACCGGACAACTACCTGCACCTTACGAAAGGTCATTGAAGGTTCCAGAGCAAAGGGTATTAATTCCCTCTCTCATTATTACCCGCCTCACCTTCGAGTGGTTATTGAACCGAAGTACCCAAATTACCTGAGTCCAGTTATTATACCTGTTCCATTCATTGATCCATTCACACTTGTTGATGGTTTTCAGTTGTTTGGCATGAAAGACTACCTTAAAGGTAATGAACGGTCTTTTATTTGCTCTAGAAAGGAATATTTCAGGGCTGAAACTCAGGTTTTCGCAAGGTATTTCGATGGAATTTATTTATTTATTCATTCTCACATTTCTGACGAAAATAAATCAGTGGAATGTAAAGTTCAGCTCAATATATCTCAAATAATATAATCTATATCCCATTACCGAAGAAAATAATCCCGTGATTAATTCCTAGAACGAAGAAACACATGACGTTAATTTTTTTTTATTGCCTCTACAATAGAGTATAAAATAAAAATGAAAACTCTGATTATTTATAAACATTTGAGAAATTATCTCCTGCCGGAAAATGGAGACTTGAAATCGAGGGAAACCCTCGAGCTCCCAGGGAGATTGATCGGCGAGAGTTTAGGAACAGGTCCATACCCTTGGAGTTTTTCAAGTCTTCCCTTGATAGCAGCACTCCTTCTGTCCTTCGGTGTCAAAACTCCCGATGTATTTCCAGGTGTCGAAGAGGATTTTTTCATCACCTCCTCTTGAATCCTCCTGGCGCACTCCTCAACGTAATCCTCCACGTTCCCAATCCTGAACTCCAGTGACTCAAACTCATTCCTCAAATGACTCCCCTGTTTAGGATTACGCGTAATAACGGTTCTCTCGGTACAAAATGCCGTGGGTATGCTCCGATAAGTATTTCTCCTCCACTCGCAATTAACACAACAAACTATTGATCCGATAGTGGCAATATCAGAGTAACCATAAGAAGCAACTCCCTCCCAGAAAAGAATGGAGAGAAAGCTGTCATCACCCTGGTCATTCCTCCAGGCCAAATAAACGGTCTCAAAATTTTTCATCCCATGTGGTGCTGGCCCAATCGATACGACAATCCCCACAGTGTCAAACTCACCATAATGAGGTGTAAAACTCAGGGTCATTGCGTCAGAGAGCGGTGTGAAAATTCTTTCTGGAAACGACAACTTTTTTCCCAACGCTCTAACATCAAATGTCGTCCACCTAGTGGCACTGATCTGGAGTTCATTGGATCGCTTCCCCGACGCCGTTCCATGAACTATTGATATCGAATTACCTTCTTTGAACATCTCACTGCATTCCTCGGCATTCTGCCAGATCGTAACTACTGCATGCGCTGTACCATCGGTTATTCTCATTTTCAAACAAGGTGTCACGTCTCGACGTGACAAGGATGACCTGGAGTGCTCCAGGGACATCTGAGCCCTCTCTTCGCTCCTGGCGTTTCGAAATATCGTCTGACCGTTGGCTGTTGACTCTCTGTACACGATTGGATACAGACGAGACACAACTCCTGACACTTTGCCAATTAGACCGCCGTTTGGGTGGATGTGTCTCAGGGAGATTTCCATGGGGCCACTGTATTTTTGGAGGCCCAATTTTGTGTACCACTTGACTCGCCTCGTTGAATTCGTGTGGATCTTCAGGCGGATGTGGCCGGGGGCCTCCAGGGGATGGCAGCCCTCATCGACACCCATCAACTGGCTACCGTACGTCATTAATTTCACTCCTTCCTTTATTTTTCCTTGAAGAACGTAATTCATCATTGCTGGATCCAAGGCCACGGTCACTGAGTACCAGCCATCAGTCAATTCCATCGTGATTGCTGTCTCGTTGTTGATTGTCGTTTTTTTAATTTTTGAAACGCACAGTACCATCCGTCGAGATGGAGCATCGTCCTTCTCCAGGATTCTTCGGATCACTGGACGCTCTGCATGATCGATTTCACGGTCGTATCTGTATTTCAGTTGTTTAAGAATTGTGTCTGGAGTAAGGCACTTCGGGGGATTTTTACTCGTGAATTTCAATCGATCCAGCGAGGCTAATTTCCAGACAATCCACCTGTAGTGGTTCTCCACCCAGTGATTGGGGACCAGTGTGGGGTCTACTCCTGGGGAGGCGAGAAAACTTCGTTTGAACTCTGTGATCCCTGCGAAATTGTGCTCATTTGGAATCAACAGGGCATCATCTCCCAATATCAATCCCTCGACGCAGCTCCTGGAGATTTCTTCCAGGTTGAATTGGTAATTTCCAGCTGTCGAGGAAGTTATGGATGTCACTGCTGGGTCGATATTTTTAAGAGAGAACTCCTGGTGATCCCGAGGACCTGGAGAAGTTCCTGGAAGGCACAAGCTCTGGAGAGAAATCCTCGTTGATGAATTTAGGTCCTTAATGAGAATTAGGGATCCAGGAATTGGCCTTTCACGAGTTCTCCTCTTTGTATCGATCACTTGTTCCTGTTTTTTTATTGCCTCGGTTCTCCTCTTCTCTACAACCTCGTTTATTTTTATTTTCGTGGAAATTTTCTCGTAGGAGTCGAAGAATTCCTGACTATCGAAAACTATGTCGTCGGGGATGAGTTCCTGGTTCGTGAGGGGGAGTTTTTTCTCGGGTATTAGGTTGAGAGTTTTGTTGGGAAAGGAGTAGTGCCTTTTCTCGAGGGGACGAGAGACTGAGGATAGAGGACACGAAGTATCGGACCACCTGCTAAATGGACGGTTTGAATCTTTATCGATGTCTTTGAAAAATGCACAAGGATTCGCTTGAACTTCCCTGGAAACGGTCAAGGCGAGAATCCTGTCATTTTCAGTATCAATATTACTCGCAAACCCCAAGGACGACTGGATTATCTCATCATCTTCTTCATTAATCTCGGTGAATAACATTCGAGCCTGGAGGTCACTGCCTGCAATCCTCGTCCTCTTTCTCCCGAATGGAGTTACATCGTCTGGAGGATTTTTTCGTTTTGCCCTGACTGGGGCATTTTCATCAGAATTATCTGGTTTTGTTGTGGTGAGCGTCTCGTTTTCCTCGACTTCAGCAGTAAATGCCTGTAAATCAGCTTCAATTTTTTTCTGGACTGATTCTGAGAGGTTTATTGCTCCTCCACCAGCTGTTGTGAAGCCACAGACTGATTTGAATGTGTTGGGGGTCGACTGAGGAGGATTCTCTGGTTTTCTCACGTTCAGAGGTGTAAAGGGCTTGGATACAGAAGGAAGGCTCGACCTCCTCGGGAGTTTTTCTGAATTGGCGAGTTTTAAATTATTTTTTAAGAGACTCGAGGGCGTTTTATGCCGATTACTCGAGACTTGCTTCTTCAGGCTTGACAAATCTGAGAAATTCAGGTCATTCTCGTCGACAGCTGGAGTGTATGCTTCCAGACCTGCTTTCATTTTCTCCAGAGCAACCTCTGATAGTTTTATAGCCCCTCCACCAGCTGTTGTGAATCCTAATGCCGATCCGAAGGTTGCTGATGTGGAGGGCTCAGGTTTCTTGACTTTTAGGGGTGTAAAGGGCCTGGAGGATTTCATCGGATTTCCTCCAGGCGTTGTTTTATGTCGAGCTGACCAAATTTTATTTTTTATACTTGACAACTCCAGGAGGGTCGGGTCTTGCTGGTCTAAATCAGCAGAGAATTCTTGCATCGCTGATTTTATTTTCTCCTGAACAGCCTCTGAGAGGTTTATACAGGCACCACTTCCAGTTGTGAATCCAATTATCGGGGCTGAGGGATTTGTCGTTGATCGGGAGGTCATTAGGGGTTCCTCTGATATCTTCGAAGATCTGTCTGTTATTGATCTTGAAGATCCAGGGGGATATTGCACATCGACAGATCTCACTGGTGTAAATGGCCTGACTGAGCCAGAATTCAAATTTTTTACATTTCCTAGTGGTGATTGATTTTTTACGCGACCTTCGACCTCCTTTCCAGCTTCAGCAATCGCTAGACCTGTGGACCAAGCCTTCTCCGATATCTGCGCCGTTTTTCCATTTCCCGTCACAAATCCGGGAAATTGGTAATTATGGCTTGGATCATTGGGTACTGGTGAATAATTACAATTTCTCAATTGTGGAGAATCGACTGATGGAGCAATTCCATTATTTCCACATCCTGAAGTAATTGACACTGGCCTCGCGTCTTCATCAGCGTTTGCTTCAGGTACTCGCCCAGGGGAAATTCTCGAGAGTATTGGATCACAATTTTCAGTCCAATTTTTATTATCAATCGTTGCATTAGGCACTGAGGATTTAACGCGTGATTCTACACGATTTAACCGAAGAGATCGTCGTTTAGTCTTTAGATTCGATATTTCATTTAAGCAATCAAAGTAATCCTCGCTGGATTTGTCATTAAATAGATCATCGATACCGGGTAAAGCTTCTCCTGGCGGATCAACAGGATTTAGAGAGGCTTTCAACCCACCACAGCCATGAAAATCATTTTTATGAGGTAGTTCTGCCACTTTTGAAACAGATTCTCTTCTGTTAAGTGGTAAAGGTACTGTTCTATCACATTTCGCATTAGCCTCTACATTTTCCTCGACTGTTGCTTCCGTTTCTTTGAATTTATCAATCGGCTTAATTGTTTCTATATTTAATAATTGTACATACCCCTCCTTCTCGATACTGTTTTCTACTCCCGTTGATTTTCGATTATCCATCGAGCTCATCAGCGTGTCAATACTCTGCAGCTCAGTGGGCTCATTCCTTTGTAGCCTGGTCTGCTCCTTGAAAATTTTATCCACAGAGGTGAACAATTTTTTTCCACTCGCCGTATCAAACCCAGAATAAACAGACACAATCAGTGGCGTCAGGACCTGCAGCTGGGGCACGGCTTCCTCAATGGCCTGAGACTCCTCTGATTCAGTATCCTCAATTGTTACGACCATAGGCTCAATCTGCCTCCTGATCCCATAGTATTTTTCCAGGTATTTATTTAGAAAAAAGTCATTGAGCTGGAATATAGTTCTAGTTGACTCTATCTCCTCGAAGGGGAAACCTACAAAATCGAGTTTCTTCGGGGACAGGCGACCATACTGGAGTACAAACATACGTTGAAACTGCCAGAGCTCTTTGCTCTCCTGCTCCTCCTTGGAGAAACCCCTGAAGCCATTCTCTGGTTCCTCAATCTCTATTGGTTCTCCTTTTATCTCAATCCCCTTGTCCTCTAGGTAAGTCATTTCCAGGACCGTGTCCTGCTCCATTGGATCAATGCCAAGGTCTATTTGAGAATAATTATCCTGCGTGAGGTTGTGGAGGCTCGAGACAGGGGTCAGGGGCACTGTAGCTGGGATATTCTCTTGCTCCAGAGCCTCCAGGTCATCACTGATTGGAGAGAATGGAAAATCCTCTGAAGAATCTCTTGGTAGAGATGAGCACACGATCTCCTGGGTTGTATCTTCCCTTGGAGTAGGCTTATCACACATCTCCAGGGCTCTACAGCTCCTCAGGAACTCGTCGTCAGGAATGGCATCGTCTGTCAGTGTCTCGAGGCCCTTTCTCTCTTGGAGTCTCTTCTGGAGCTCTTTCAATTGCTCTAGCCTCTGAAGTGGAGACTTTGTCTCGACCTCGACGTCGGAAATCAATGATCGAGATTTCCTGACTTCATCTCTCTGGGGTAACTCCTCATCTTCATATAGTGTCGAACAGTTTGTGTTGTTCTTATCGAAAATACGTCGCTTGGGTGGACGTTTTTGTTTTTTCTTGGGATGGACAATTTCCTGAGACAGAGGCACGATTTCATCGTTACCGTCGTCAGGACGGACGTGGAGAGGAGTCGTCGGATCAGCAGTTTGAGTAATGCCATCATCACAATCACTGTGTACAGGATTTGTCGAGTGAATGATAAGACGATGTCGATCAACTGCTGGTGTCTCCATGTCACTTGTCCAGCCATCAGCCTTAGATATAAACGGCGCCAGAGTCAGAGGAGTCTTTGGCACAATCGGTTTACCAGGTGTCCTACAAAATAATTTTAATCCATAAAAAATTAATGAATCCATCATTCCTCATTAATAACACTCATAAAAAATATTACTCTTCTCTCTGGTCGTACACTGCAACAGGAGTCTGAGATAAATTGAAGAAAGACGAGTTGACCTTGGGATTTGGACTCATCAATTGATCGTCACAGAGGTCATCATCATCTGGAATTTCGAGGCGAGAAGTTCGATAAATTTTTTAAACAATATTTGAGAGGTTCAGTGGGATTAATGAAACGAAGATTCACCAGAAAATAGGTCCTCCTCTGTATCGCTGGTATTTTTTGAATAATCCATTGTGATTAATTCCTGTTGTCGCACGGATGTTTTATGGAAGCACTAGTATTTGGATAAAGTATGTATGCCTTTGTTTTCATTTCGTATGCAGTGATGTGCGTGAACGATTGTGAGATTTTGTTTTGGATTTTGTGGGAGTTGTGCGAGTTGAGAACACCAGAGGCGCCACTTGGCTGCCCGCCGTTTGCCGCCCATCGCTTGGCGCTTGCCTCAGTCGGCGGCTAGACGTTCCTTTGTTCGCGTTTTTCACTCGTGTTTCTTACTCGCGTTTCCAGTGTTTATCGTTGTGATTTATCATTTTGTGGTGAAATAGTGTGATAATATGATGCCTTGAACTAGTGGAAGCTGTGGGATCGTCGAGAAAACGTAAGTTATTGTCTTTTCTTTGTTCTTTTCATGTCTCAAGGTCATATTGGCGGGACCGAGCGTAGCAGACGATTTTCGTGAAAATTTGGGTCGAAGTTCGTGAAATATTGCATCATTATCGATTTATGTGATGTTTTCGTGGCGTTTTTCCTAGAAAGTCATCGATAACTTGGGGTTTCTTTGTCTTTGGCGATTGCAATGCATCGGATCGTCATTTTTTTTTTTATTTCGGTGGCTCTCGTACTCGGTTGAATTCAAAATCCACGACTTTGCACGAACCGAGGTCTCGACTCGTTTCGGCCATTCTCGGGACGTCCCGGGTGAAAATAAACGTGCACATGGTTATTGAAACGTGGTGGGTGCTACAAGTGAAGTGAAATTTACAAAAATGACCAGGAAATATGGGCCGATGAAGACGGCCAAGATAACTTGGACTCTGGAGGAGTTGACAGTGCTTGTTAATGATGAAAAATCACACGTACATCTTGTCAAGACTAGCAGACACATTGCTCTGCATCCTTATCAATTGGGAAACTTGAAACAGTCCCTGCATGACATTCTTGGAGATCAACTTAATTATTATGACGTTAAGTATGTATTGATTCTTTATAAAATATTGGTGCTTCGATTTTGAAGATGATCTATGATCATTATGGATGCCGTAATCGTCCAGTCAGTCCTGGGTTTAGGCAGCAGTAGGATTCTAACCTTTTCGAGCATATCAAATTTTTATTTCAGATTGAATGGACTTTTGCTGTCTTACAAAAATCCAAAATTGCTCTCGGAAAATGCAGCCATGCTCTACGATTCATTTGCCTGTCATGTTGACATACAGGCAGATTTTTATGTGTTCAGGCCGAAAGTTGGATATATTCTCAAAGGTAAATGATTGATTCTTTCAATCGTCGGCTTATTTTAATCTGAAGGACATGATGAGGGAAAAAATTAATTGATCATGATCGTGCTCTCGATCTATTTATTGATGGTATACATTTTGTAGGAGTCGTCAATAAAAAAGCTGCAAATCATCTTGGTGTCTTGGTACATAAGGCTTTTAATGTCTCAATACCGAGGAAAGATGAGGAGGCTGAGGATTGGCAGGGGAATTATCTGAATGTTGGGGATGAAGTTACCTTTGCTGTTGAACTGATGGAATTGAAGCCTGAGAGGGGAAAATTACCATTTTTCAGGGGGAAGCTGGTGACTAGGTAGTTGACTACAAGTTTGTACTTCGAATCGTCAGATTCAGTCATTTTTTATAGCCATTTTTAATTCTCCAGTGATCAATCTGATGAAGATGTGGAGTCTGAGGGCACCAAGGATGAAAACGAGCATGAGATCTCAAGGATTGACATGAAACAGCCCAAGTTCTCGTCGACTGTCAATGAAGAGGACAGTTCAGAGTCTGAGGAAGACACTGTGGAGTCTCCAAAAACCGAGAGCATTCGGGTAGGCCCCAAAGAAAATGACAACACAATGTCTGAGTTTGGGAAACTCAAAAAAATTCAAGCAGAAGACTCTGATGATTCGGATGACGCAGTGCCATTTTCAAATAGATCTAATAAAAAAGAGAGTCCAAAGAAAATCCTGGAGAGCAGCCGGAAAATTCAAGAGGAAAAATTAATTAAAAAATCGCCATTGCCTGAAAAAACATCGAAGAAATCTCTGAGAGACTTGCACCAAAACTCTCATGACTCTGACAGTGACGTTCCCATTTTTAATAAAAATACGCGGAATATGGAAAAAGAATCGAATCTTGTGAAGCTCCACAGGACACGAAATTCGGATGATGATGTACCTTTTTCGAAGCATAAAGCTGATAGAAAAATCGAGAAGGCTTCCAAATCCAAAAAAATTGCGAAAAAGGCTAACAGTTCTGATGATTCAGATGAAGTGCCATGTAATAGTAAACCGGTCATCCAATCTACCAAAAAAATCAAACGTCAACGCTCTGAGTCTGAAATCTGTGTCACACAGCCATCGAAAAGATTAAAAAAATCACAGCGAAGCGAATCTGATCACGATAATTTTGAAAAAACGAAAAGAATTAATGGAAAAGCTAAAAGTAATGAAGACCATAATGAACTCTCGGGAAGTAATTCAAACGTCGATTTAAAGCCCAGGATAATCCACGAACAATTGCTCCATAATAAAAAAACGGAAGTTAATCCACAAAAGCATTCGAAAAAGAGAAATTCTAAACCTGCGCATGACATGTCGAGTGATAGTGATAGCGAGATTGAAAAGGCAAATATACAAATAAAAAAAGAGAAGGATTTGCAGACAAAAGATGATAATTGCAGCCACACTGCGAGATTACTGCCTGATAATTCAGATAACGAGTCGAATGGAATAAAAAATAATTCAAATAAAAATTGGAGTGATTTAATGGATGAGACAGTCGATAGTGACGACGACTTCGCCTCGTTCATGCTCGCCCAAAAAATCGAGAAGGAGCCAGATTCGGAGATGAAAAGAAAAGGAGACGAAGACGTCGAAGAGGATTCGATACAAATGCTGCTGCACGCACAGCATATAAAATCAGAGGCGGAGAAATCCACGAGACCTAAAGTTGAACACCAGGAAGTCAATGATTCAAATATTTTCAAAATTAATAAAGAAAAGAAAAAGAAGAAATCTAAGAAACAGGAGGGAGAGCCCAAAGTGAAGATCAAGAAGGAGAAGGAGAAAACAGTCAGTGCTTCGAATGAGCAATCATCTTCGATGTTGCCTCCAAAGGCTTCCAAGAGGAAGCAACTTAGGTCTTCAGCTCTTACCTCCCCTGAGGACAGTGGAGAAGTAAGCGACGCGTGCTCCACGAAGTCAAGGATATTAGTCAAGAGAGAAGAGTCTGTATTTTTCACGAATATAACAATCAAGCAGGAGCCCTACTCCTCAGACGTCGAGAGTATCTCTTCGAGGAAACGTGTGCGAACTGAGAGCGCAAAATTATCAATTGAACGTAATGATACGTTTGAAAATATCAGGATTAAACCCGAGCCGAGTGATGGGAAGAGCGAACCACATGAAAAGACGAATAAAATAAAAAAGGAGAAATTTATGAATGACCCGAGTATCAAGAGCGAAGAGGATTATTCTGATGGTGCACCCCCCAAGAAAAAATCCAAGAAGAAATTCAGTGAATAATGAATAAACTGAAAAAAAAATAGTGCGACACCAAAAATCCTGCAGCACAACACAATATAAATTCTGATTTGTTCAATTACTTATTTTCTTTTATCTGTACATAAACGTAATATAAATACCTAATAATAAAATCTTATTCTCAAGTATAACTAAAATAATGACAAAACAATTCTTACGATATCCATCGCACCAAAATATCACTCAACTTTGGTAAATTCATTCGCAAAAAATTGACTTAACTTAGATAACTAATTATAAAGATCGACAAGTGAGATTATTTCAAATTTGTACTAACAGAAATTGTTCCCTATTTTTTGATTATCTATCAGGGTCACACAGCACACAGTCAGGGGGCGTTGATATGATTTTACAACATACATACAAGTTATGGGAGAGGCCAGGGTAGGCCTGAGAAATCAACAGGGCCACCTAGACCAGCGTCTGCCTCTAATAGGCTCATGATCACTGCCATTGCTGCTTCGTCGTTGCCATCGGAGGTCAGGGGAGTTGGAGAGTCATTCATTGCTGTGGCGCCGATTACGTCCAACAGGTCTCCATCGCACGCTCCTGCAAAAGGTAGGACTCAATCAATGTCTTTCTTACGCCGCGTTTCCGGGGTTTATTTCTTCTAATACAATCAATGGAGTTGTGAAGTGCAACACTCTAAATAATTTTTTTCCCTTACAGTCCGGGATTTTGATATACAATTTTTTTTTTTGAAAAAAAAAAATTAGATTCTCAATTCATACAAATTAACGCCTTCACAACTCCGCCCAATTGTTGAGATAGATTCGAACCTTGTTCATTGGCTATACTACTCAGTGGAACATTGTTCCTGATATGATTGAATGTTGACGCCGTGTTACTACTACTATTATCGCTATTGACCGCTGACTCTCCCTCTTGCATTCCTTCTGGAGAGGTAACAGTCGTCGTTGTCGTGGGCGTTGTAATCTAAAACGAAAGGGGGGAATAAAAGTAAATAGGAATACGAATAACATGATAATGACTGACAAACCTCAGTATTGAGCAAAAAACGATCAGGTGTGGGAGTTGGACTGCTTGATGAGGAGTCTTCACTCCGCCTTTGATGATCTAGCACCTCTTCAGCTATTCGTCTTCCTATTTTACTTACTTCCACATGACTAGATATCAATCTCTCGAGACCACCGTTACTCTGAGCAAAGTAATCGTAATTTCCTTGGACACTAGATCCCTCGGATCTCGGGGCTGCACTGCTCTCCACTTGTCCTGCATCACAACTGGGAAAAATGAGGAATAATTCAGTTATGGGAATTTGGGTCATTGCATTGTGGACCTGCACTGGTGGAAAATTATTCTCCAAATGAAAAGAAAGAATAAATTTCTAACAGTACAGTACTGACAATTGAATTACAATATTGCAGAATTCTTGGCTATGATGTAATCGATATCCTTTGTCCAGGGATTTCTAAATGCGAACCATTCAGACTGTAGTCGAACAAAGCTCGCTGTTTTTGCTCTAAACCTGTACACCTGGGAGACAAAAGCCGTTATCCAACGAATATAATCGATTAATTATTCGGAATAATTTGTTGTTGTACCTGGGTTGTTATGTGGTCTGTGGTCTGCAGTGCAGTCTTATGCGATTCAGCGAGATGTGGAATATCGTCGTGATGATAATACTCGTACATACTAGTACCCAGTAGTTCCTGGGGTAAGAAACCCAGGACAAGCGTTGCTCTGGAATAACAAAAAGGATAATTCAAAATTATCATATAATCCGATTGAAATGTCAATGTACTCTCGTGTAAATTACGTACATCTGATCGACGAAGATAAATTTTCCATCAATGGCGTAGCGAGTGACAAACATGATGGTATTGAGCTTTGGTAATCCCATACCTAGTGAAAGTTCAAGTAAACTCGGTGTTACTCTACCAACAGCAACGAGACACGATAGATTGCAATTTTCGCCCTCTAGGCCTTCCCCTTCCTGCTCCTGATCGGCACTGATTTTCGCTGGTGCCCACGATTTCAAGTAGCCTGTGCACTGTATCACACAGTATTTCCAATCTAAAGAGAAAATGTTAGGTTCAATCGTAAACTCATAGATCAATGGAGGGGGTTAAAAAATATCTAGAAAATGTTTAGTCGATCGTAAATTCTCCATTGTATGGAAACCGATCAAAGGATTCTCGAGCCTGTGTGAACACTTTGATCTCGATTATCTACGACACGGAAGTGGAATTTATTCCATTCAACTTCATAGACACAAATATACGGTCAAATTCACCAGAATTTTGCTGTTTTTTTCTTCTGTGTCCACCTGTCGTGGTATCAGCTTCTTCTTTAACTTGAGACTCTCCATTATTCGTTAAATTGTCGACTTTCCTTTTCATTCGACAGAAGAAGGATCTTCTGGCACCTGGGCCCAGTCTTGTTGCACCCTGGGGAACATCTGTTTTCACTGGTAGCATTGCTAGATTCAATTGAAATTATGGAGATATTGAGTACATCGGTTAGCTCGGCATTATGAAATTTTGCAAATGTCAGTTTGTCGTTGCGTACATTCCGCTGGGACCTTGTCTTAGTAAATGGGAGGACTGACATTTCGATGAGATTATATTAAACGCGTTAATAATTAACTTACTCTTAGCGTCTATCAATCGTTCGCGGGGGCTGTGCTCCGACGATAGTTGTTCTTTTACCTTGGCAACGTCTTTCGGATGGAGTATGTCAAACCAACTCTGACCCAATAATTCGTCCTGGAAAAAAAACCCATGCAGCCCCCTATCTTTCTTCAGTGTTAGTCCGATGACCATTAGATTATTCATTAAGGATATCCAAGTACCTTTTAAATGAGTAAACCATTCCCTCCGAATTTCATTTACTAAAATTACATGGAATTACTTTGAAAAATAAAAATATCAAGGAGCCAAAGTACTTGGATACCCTTAAGCAGCAATTATTCATACCTGAGAATAGTTGAGGGTCTTTGATACAGATTCCGAGACATATAGAATCCTCCCTCTATCACAGCCAACAACAAAAACAAAACCCTCAGCTGCCTGTAATAAATTTAAAAAAAATTGAACGGTCTCTCATTATCGGCTCGTATGCAAGACTGAAATGCCAGTAAAATATCTGACACGTCATGTTTCACAGTTAGTTAATTACAACTTGGGCAAATTAAATAGTTGATTTATGATCTATCAAAATCCCCCGAAGTATGAAAATCTTTTATCATCAAATGGTAGTGAGCACATGGGTAAATGGCAAGGAGAGAAAGGGAAAAGAAAGGTCGTGCCTACACACGCGTATAATATTCCCCCCAACACAACTTCACATGAGAAAGAAATTTTATATTTATTTTCGCAGTCATTGAACCGTAGCGCAGTTCAACGATTACACTACATAATGCAGTAACGTATATGTAACAAGTAACGTGTATATAAAATACACGGATACGCGAGGCCATTTAATCCAATTCTATCTGTATATACCCATCTGTTAGAACAATCGCATTAAACACGAGGTATACTGGTATTTTGGTATTCCTGGGTGTGGTCCAGGATATGTACCAATGTTACAGTACCTGATTCTTTACCAGTGCATGTGAAAGCTTTAGATTGATAGATAACGCCATTACCCGGGTTATTGAAAAATGCAGTGTTTCGTATCGGCGGAGAATCGAGAGAGAAATATTATAAAGATGGAGAGGGAAAAATTTTTAAATTAATAACCAGGTATTCGTGGATAGGCGAGTGACTGTAATGTTACTCGTTGTTGTGCAATGGCAAAACTTGGACGGGATGTTGAGTACTGGAGAAGTCATACAGATGCCCGAAGTCGGAGGGAATAACTTTGAATTTCGATGTAGATCGGTGGACGCGGGTGTACTCAGTGGGTGGGCACTCGGTTTCAATTACTACTTTACCTGCAGGATGAGGGTTTTTAATTCTTGATCACTCAGGAAGGCGGGCTTGTAGTGACCCTCTGTGTACGATGTCACTGCACCCAGGATCGTTTTCAAATGTTGTACCGCCATTCGAAGGACTGTTAGCTTGTCCAGTTTTCGAGACATGGCGTGACACATTGGAATCATTGATGATAATTCGGTTATGTAGGTGTTCATCTTGTCACGACGGCGTTTCTCAATCTCACTGTGATTCTGTCTGTAATGACATTCATTGCTTATTCTAGATTTTATTTTTCTATTAAAGCCTTTGGTGGTGAAATAGCTAAATCATATTAGTTGTCTTCCGCTTTTTCTTCGATTTCGTAACAAAATATTCATTGACATAATTCCATGATCCTCTTTGTAGACTCTTGTCTCGCAAACTTGGCTTTGTCAGAGTCCGTTAACGTCACGAAGCCAACTTGCGTTGCCGAGGAGTCAAGGTAGGCCAAGGTTGCACTTGTCATTAAATGCGTATCTGCATTTTTCAGTGTCAAGTTACTTAATAGTAAACGTATTACCTCGACTATGAATTAATGAATAACGCGGATCATTTAAAAAACTATTTCGTAATGGGAGTAGTACTCACTTTTTGCTGTCGGTGTTGGTTCGCGTGGATTTGGCATCGTCCCCTGGATCGTCCAGGGCATCACTCTCATCCCTGAAAGAATGTGAAATATCAAGTGGTTGAAAGTCGTAAATTTTCACTTTGACTGAAGTTTCCACGAATTTCTAGAACTCAAGTTTACAGGGGTTGAATACATTGTCGCTTATGGTGCTTCACCTTCGTCATTATTCCCCTCTGAACCTCCCCTCAGACCTCTACGAACACCTTGACGCGAGTAGAATGTCGTATAAACAAACGTAGAGACTGTTGTAGGGATTCTCGTGGTGAATATGAGCATATAGAGGTCTGTCGATGCGAAATTTCTTCGGATGATAGGTGTGAGGGATTTCTTGATAGGTTGCAGGTCAAGTGTAAGCGCCGGATAAGTCAACCGAGGGAAATCCGGGGCGAGATATCCCCAGGGAATCGTCCCTACCCTAGTCTTTGATGTTCTACTCATTTGATTGGCAATTATAGAGTGATTCAAAGTTGGAGATGGGACTGCTCGATTGGAAATTACTGAATGATTTTGAATTGATGACTGGGAGGAGACGTTTGAAATTTATTGAGAGGTAATGAATTACTCACTGACTCGAAATCTTTCGTTTCCTTGGTGCTGGTGAGTAGTCGCTGAGGTGTTCACTCGTTGAGTCTCTCCTCTGGAATTGCTTGTGATGGCGTCTCTGGTGGTGATGATTTCGGTGACTAGATGCTGCTGGCTGCTGGCCAATGTGCATTGCTGAGGTGTTGGAGGCTTTGTCTCCTGGGTGGTGGATTTGTTCATGCGATTCTACTACTAGGTCTGCCACTGATGGAGATATTGGGGAGACTGAGGCGGGTGCTAGGGATTTCTCTCCTTGAATTTCTGCATTCTGACTACAGGTTTCGATATCATTGAGACCATTAAAATACTTTTATCTCATCTATTGAATATTTCACACTATTTTTTGTTCGATATCACTTATCCATTCACGTGAATCGGTTAAAATTCATAAATCTTCCACAATTAATCGCGCAACAGTCAGTCCATTCACAATTATCAAAAATCACAATGGCATTAATTCTTTTCCCTGTGTGAATCACGAGAATTAATCGCTCGGTGGAATCCCTGATAGCATTAATTTACAGAAAAAAATACCAATTAAATGTAATTTTCGTCCGATTCAATCGATAAACTTATTCACATAAATTGGCGGTATATCGAAGGCTTTTTTTTATCCTAGGGAAATTATGACGTATCAAGGCCGTCAACTTGATCCACGCGTTCTGGGCTATATCATTGATGAGACTTGTCCGTTTGTAAATGCGGCACTATCGCAACTAACCAGTTCCGTGTATATCAATCATGATGCAACTGATTCCACACTAGTTAAAAAAAAAACTCATCCCACTGCATCATTTTAATGATTCCATCTGAATTCCATTAAATTCCCAAAAAAAATCTTGAAAACAAATTGGCGCGTTATAATTCGTTCGTTCCCCTGACAAAAAAATAATGCCCGCCACAATCCAATTCTTATCAATCAGAATTCGTCGAACTGAGATAAGTGGAATTTCAATGTTGAATTGAATTGAAAAAAAAAAAATTGTCTCGTGAATTGGTAATACCCACCGCGAGAATCTAATAGACCTCTCATGACTAATCTCACTCGGGCTCCATCGGCTTCGCGTTGCATAATGCACCAGTTAAGAATCAAGAGAAACAAGCGAGGAATAAGTATACGACAATTGCAATGGCAGTCTCGTATGCGCATATTTGTAGCTCGATGTTTAGATGATGGGAAAATAGAGGGAAAAAAAAAACGTAGAGCGAGGAAGAAAATAGAGTGAAGTGTGGGGCTGGTACTAGCATTGTGCGTCTGTGACGCGACGCTTGTCCCCACGATTGACCCAGTACTTACGGCAGTGTCACGATATCACGATCACACGTTTTTAACATTATTTTCCATTTGATATTAGGGATAAATGCATGCAGCTATACCGCGAACTTGTACGTCTCCGCGATTTATTTTCATTTTTTTTTTTTTCACTCTCTCAATTTTTATCGCTCGTGTTTGCACGTTTGAGGGGATTAAGGAGAGATTAACGTGTTAACTTACTTTGGAAGTGCAGCGAGATTTAAGTAAGTCCTCTGTCCATGCTCATTATCACGCTCATTAAGATAAATATGGGGACCACTGGCTACAATGATATTCTGTCCATGATGATGCGGTCTAAGCTCCTCGAGTGATACGAATTCTTGGGGCTCTTGGGCAGCGTGGAAGAGCTGATTGTAGCTCTGGGCCATGTCTTGTGCCACCATCTCTCGATTATTATTGTTATTTGTGCGATGAAAATTCAAGAGTTGATCCAGACCGTCAGTCGGCCGACTGTCAGTCACTTTGTTTATCTCTTCACACTTATTCACTATATCAGTATCTCGGGTATCGTAGCTATTTATTGGTAAATTGTGGTTTAGAGATCGATGATTGCTGGTGTTATCATCGACCATTTGATCATCGGAATATCCGGGGAGACCATTGACACCTGTACCCCCGTTAGACGGCAGTCTGCTATCATCTTTAATTTGGATTGAGATTTAGGGGGAATTATTCAAATTTCATCATTGTCAATAATTGCACAGGGGTGATTGATAGTGTGCATGGTTGCGGGGCAATGTGAGAGGCCGCATGTATCTGCATACACTGTTTTGCGCAATGTTCGAAGTGCAACGTTTTGTCAGTTAATCCTATGCTAGGTTTTTTTAACTCGATAAAAGATAAAAAATTGTGGCCGCAGTCTTCTAACGTGTATGAATATTTATTCGAATTGATGATAATTGTTTACTCGGGATGATTGGAAATCATCAATATTTGAAATCCATTACATGTTGTCGGTTTTTATTCATTTCAATATTTTTCTAATTCTTGTGGTCTTGTGAAGTCTTCTGTGTCCTGTGAATATTCATCCGAATTATCAATACTCGAAAATATTAAAAAATCGTTAGCTCCGCTCGCCCTCGAAATTGACAGTTGTCGAAATTAGATAGAAAGGAATTGTCAGTGAATTTCTTACCGAAGAGGCTGTACATCCAGCACGTGATGTTAGGGGATGGTACCGCATTGTTGTCCCTCTGTGCTGGAGCCTCGCCACCCTCCAACGAGAAGGACAAGGTCTTATCACCCAGGCTCTTCCAGGCTCCCTTTAAATTATCCAACAGGTGTCACTAAATAACTCTTCAGGGGAAAAAAAAATAAACTCAATAACAATCCCCTCACTTCCTTATCACTCGTGGGAGATTCGCGATAAACTGTTGACCGGCGCTTGAGTACGCGGAAACTAAACTATAAAGTCTCGATGGGAAAGGTGCAGAACCTAGAGTGGTTTGGGCGCTGGTGGCACACAAGCGTGGATTAGCCACGTGGTCAGTGTAAGATATCTGTTGAACTACCTGGAGTTGTTGCCTTGGCGCTTATCGTACCGCGCCGGATTGTACCGCAGGTGGGAGTGGACTAAAACCGCCCTGGTTGGCACCCACTCGCCAGATGCAGGCAAATAACACCCACCAATGCAGATACCGAGGGGGTGGATGGTTGACACCCCTCTCGTGAGTACAGCCCTCACCTGTGCTTTCGACGTTTAGAGGGGAAAGCATTTTTTTTTCTTCTTTACCCCGCATGAGTTCAATGAACCAGCGGAAAAATATCCACCAAATTTACCCCTCAATTCCAATTATTTATCCGGAATTTTATCACTATTTATCTCGAATGAATCGCATGTGAATGATGCTTGTCATCATGCGGTTTCAAGCTTTAGGCTTGAGGCTCGAGACTTGAGATAAAAGTAATTTTTTTTTTTGTCATATCACGGGGAAACGATGGAGAATGGCAAATAAATGACGCGATGTTCTCTATTGTCGTACTGTGTAGAACCCTTAAAAGTTTCTTTCCCTCGAATCTTTTCGTTGAATATTCCGCCTCTTCAAATGTGAATTGAACCTCTGAATTTCATATGAAGAAAAGTAGCGAGTACATATGTCAGTGAGTGGAGCCTTGGGGACGGGGGGGCAGGGGGTGGGGTTGAAGGTTACGTAGGATTAGTTGTATGTGCGTATGCAATGGATTGTGAGGGTATTAATTAGCGTTAATCAAGGTAAAGAGGGATGCAGTTGGATGCGCTCATCCTCTGGATGCAGACAACGTCATTATCGATGGGTGATTGTGGGGCGCACGTTTGAAGTGACCGCATTAGCCTTGGATGTTTTTTTTTCGTTTGTTAAGCCCATTAATCCAGTGCAGTCATCATTCATTCCGCGCCGAATTTGTTTTTCGATGAGATTATTAAATACCTCATGGTTATTATGGACTCTCTTCTCTTTCACTATATTCATCTGTTTAAAAAAAATACTCTCGATTTTTTATACCTGCAATTAATTAGGGAGACATATTCAGTGAATAGTTTTTCTGTCGTATTATTATTTTTCATTCGATGTCGTTGGAATCGCAGAAATTCGAAACGATTCGTGGGGATTATATTTTTTCGTTTATCTCCTTTTTCTTTAGTGTCGATGGTATTTCTTGGGGTGATTGGTAAAATGACACCCGGTCAGTGGAGATGAGACACTTTTCTTTCTCCTTGGATGGGCAATTTTCACTTGTCTCTATTCCCTTTCACTCCTGTATCTTCTAATTATTTTACATCGGGCAAAACGATGAATAAAGAATTAAATTCCCGGGTACGTCATCTCTACTCATCCGATATCAATAATTGGCAGTTAATTTGTTGTCTCAGCGCTCACCAATTGCTCGACGAGACGTGCATTTCGGATTAAGAGGGGAAAAAATAATAATAAATAAGTTGATGGCCGCGAGAGGTGAAATTTCATTTGAATAATTCACATTGTATTCGAAGGATCCGAGGGAAAAATAAAAGGCGAATTAATTTTTGGGGGAGGTCTCGATGGGGGAAAAATGACTTAATTAATTAATTCACAAAACAATGTGTCAATTAAATCATGCACATCGGTGTATATATTTGCTCACGGAATCGCGCGCGAACGCTCCTGAATATCCAGTTGCGTAATCGAAAACGGATAACACGAGCTGTACAACAATTTGACCCAACAGAGAGTTATGTAAACGTCGTGTACAACCAGGCTGCAGTTGACGGATCTCTCCTCTCTTTCTCTCACTCTCTTTCTCCAGAATCTAAAGAGCCCTCAGCCCCACAGTCAACGCACCAAGACTCTCTTTGTATCACTCCTCATTATTGTTACTCCTAACCCAAAAATATATTTTCAATTATCTCCCACAAATAACTGAGCAATTAGCATCGTGTATTATCAATAATTCGTTTGTCCCATTTAATTACCTGGATAGTTGCATTATTGAGATTTAATCAACATTCACTTCAATTAACATTTAAATATTTATAACCGCCCAGATGACATTTCGTCTTCAATTTTTTATTGTTCGAAGTTCAATCAATAATTCTAATCTTTATCTAATCGGATATTGAGTTCTTCTCTTAATCAACTCGCGGATTAATTAAATGCACACGTATTGGTGGCCTTCGGAGATCGATTTTTTCCCAAGGGCAATTTCGACGATTTCAGAGAAATTCACTGGGGCTTCTGTCTATTTCACGTAGTAACAGGGTGGCTAGTTAACAGAGACAATTTGCAAATGTTATTCTTCCATATTTCAATGAAATTCATCCCCCTGAATCGAGGTAATTCATCTTTTGTTCACTTGTCATGAGTTTATTGAGGGTACTATTGGATAGGGTATGTGCTTGAGTGGCATTATGAGAATATCAGTGTGTGGACAGATGAGGAGGGTAGTCCCTGGGGCTGAAAATATTTGCATTTGAAGTGTAGCTTCTGATGAAGTATACTTCATCATTTTCGGTTAGCCCCAAAATTGTCATGACATAAGAATTACTCATTACACTCTTCTCCGCTTAGAAAACAATTGATTACATCCAATGATCTACTCGTTATGATTTTTATTGCTAATACAAAGCATTAATATCACTCGTTGTAGACTTGGACTCACGAGATGCAGATGGGTATGAATTAGAATTTATTCAAGGCCTTTCGACTATTGTAAACCACATAAAAGGAAAAAAAGAATGAGATGATACGCAGATAGATACAAAGAGGAGATAAACAGGGGAGAAAATGGGAATTAAGTGTCTCGATTCAAGTGTATGTGGAGTCTGGCTTAGTCTCATTCAGTGGGAAAATGACCGCATCGTGCAGAACTTTATCAGTATGAGGTAACACGCGCCGTCGGCGCTCCAGCACGCAAGTTGAATATTGCATAACATTTAAACCACAGATACAAATTCTGGATAAATGTCTGGGAGATTGAGTCGAATCTTGGTGGGAATTAATAGCTGGATACAACGATCATATTTTTTTTATCTCGCTAATTAGGGTCTCTGCTTTATTCTACTCGCTATCGTATACTTTATTCAAAATTGGCTCATACATTCATGGAATTTGAATTATTTTCGAGGCACTTATTTTATACTTGTAATACCGGTCTCTCGTGTTTTCCCTCGAGATTGTCATTGACAGCTGAGTAACCAGTTCCTCCCTGTAACAAAGTTTCATTTTTTATGATAAATTATTTTTTAAAAGAAATTCAAATAAAATCAGGTATCAGGTATTTTATTCATTCGATAATTACTCTTTGGAGAGGAATGATGTCACTTTCTTTGATAGTTTTTCCATCCAATGGATTAATCCAGTCTTTCTTTATTAGTTTTTCGAAGCACTCCATTGTGATGATGTCGCCTCTGGAAAAAAATTTATACTTTATTCATCATCGAAAGAGTTTTGCGTAATAATGAATTATTGAGGCTCACGTGGTTTTTATAACAGCACAGGGTACACTGTTGCTGAGCACATCGTGTGTGATTGGGCACATGTACCTGGCCTCCTTGACGATCAGTGACTTTTTATCGTCAGGATCTTTCACTTCAGTGAATTTTACGTTTATCAAGTCTTTGAGTTTCAATGGTTTATCGCTGACAGGGCAGTAGATGGTTTTGTCAGGCTTCTTCAAGGGGGCAGCTTTGGCTTCTGGAGTTTTTGATGGAATCCAGAAGCTGGGTAGAGTCTTCTCGCGTCCCTCAGCCATGTTGGAGATGGAGGAACTGGGTTTTGTGTCGTTTTTGCTCGGGACGATGTTCTTCTCAAATTTAAAAAAATTCTGGAGCTTTTGGAGCTCTTCGGTCGCTGTTTTTTCGTTGGATTCTTCCTGGATATGAATAAAAATATTACTCGTCATTACGAATGGCAATATTTAATAATATACTCTTGAAGAAATTTCGACGAGTCACACCTCTTCTTTCTGCTTTTGCAATTCATATTCCTTCAATTTCCTGGTATATTCTCTCTTCTTGGTAAGGATATACTCCAAAATAGCTTCTTTGTCGAATAAATAGCCATCAGGTCTGCAGGATAAAAATTATGAGGCTCGTCTTGAAATATAATAGTATTTAATTAATAATTGGTCTATTTACGTGATTACTGGGTTTCTGCAGGGCTGTAATGTCAAACAGCAACAATCGAACCCCTTCACCGAGTCTTTTCCAATTCTGTGGGCATTTGTACCGTACCCTGATGCTGCTGCATCTTTTTTCTTCTCGTGGTACGTGTACACTGCACCTGCTGTGCAATTTCTCGCGTGTCTCGTCATTTTTATTGCTCGGATATTATTTTTGGAGGAAAACTGGTATTTATTTACTGGCAGGTTATGACAGGGATATTGACAACAAAACACGCGATGGACCAGTGCTGCCTCTAGAGATGGTAAAGGAGAATTTTTTTTTACTGGGACATGAACGGTGAGGAATTATATTCGTATTGGTTGATGGAAAAGTTAAAAAATTTATTCACATTTTACAGTGGAATTTGTACAATGGTTAGTCAGTCTGATTGGAATGATCAATTCCATTCAATCCAACTCGTTATTTAAAAGATGAAGTCGCGGGATCAGTCATCGTCGGAGGATGACTCCGAAGTCGTTTGTCTCCTGTGTTTCCTTCGTCTCTTGCTTTTCGATTTTCTCCTGCGGTCCTTTTTCTTCTTTTTTCTACTTTTCTCTTCATCCTCTGAGGACTCGTCGTCAGTGGAGTCCTCGGATTCACTACTTGTACTCTCTCGCTTTCTGCTCTTGTGCTTTGATTTTTTCTTACCGCGTTTCTCCTTTTTCTTCTTTTTCGCCTCTTTCAATTTTTTCTTCAGCTCTTTCTCACGCAATTCGGTAAGTGGTGTCACGTAGTTCTGATCACTGTCTGAGCTCGTACTACTCACATCCAAGACAATCTCTTTATTGGGATCTACTTTTATGAAGTTTCGACACTGGTAAGTCAAGTGTCCGGCATAACCACACTTTTTGCAAGCTGGTCGTACTTGCTCTTTGCTCTGGGGGATGAGCTTCGAAATTATGTCAGACTGCATTTCTCCTGGAAGTTGAATATCTCGACCTCATTCTCACATTCATTTTGCAGTACGAAATAATAATTAAAAGTGAAAAGACGACACTCATTCCATCGCATCTAGATCAATGAAAATGTATAAATACCTCGGTTCAGTGGATTTCTCTCAGAACAAGGGATTATCTCGAAATTTTTCTTGCTGAGCCTCTCCAAAAATTAAAAAATGTTGAATTATCGTCAGCTGTTCGTTTTGTTTACAATGCAAAGGCATTTGGTGGTATATACTTTTTAACTCTACAGCAGCGCCCTCATAGCGTCGTCGATAAAACCGGAGAAATTAAATTCAAATTTTGGCTGGAGAAGGATTTCGTGGTGATACGTGATTTTTTAAAAATTCTTTATTCGATTAGTTCAGTTAATGAATACAAACCGCTCAGTCTACAATCTCTTCTCCTATCTGAATTGATAAGCGCGCAATTTTTTTAATAAACATTCAGGGCATCTCACTCCAATTTTTATTCGGGAATTTAACGAAGAGCTCATCTCAAATTATTATTTTCCCAAAAAATTCAAGGTGTGGCACTCCAATGCGGCCAGGTTTGAATAATTCCGTACAATTGTTCTCCAGGGCTGATAGTGCTTATCACTTGTCTCTGACCAAGTAATTTGTAATCACTCGTCAATTCCCTGAACTTGACCCCCAGCTCCAGCAGCTGTTGCGCAGCTCTGAGCTGCTTCTCATTCGGTGCAAGATCATTAAAAGTCCCAATGAAACCAACACCAATGCTCTTCTTGTTGTAATTAAACGTGTGAACCCCCTCGACATTCCAGCCACGACCCACGTAGATGTTTCCATCACCACCCACCAGGAAATTGTACCCAATGTCGTCCCATTTATTACCTTCGGTGTGCAAGCTTTGGATAAGTCTCACTTTCTGGGAGCATTCGGCTTCTGTGGAACAACTCTTCGTTCCAGTGTGTCCTATTATTACGTAGGGGGTGGGAATCATTTCGAGGGCTGGAGATTGTCCCAGTGGTGGTTGTGCACCCCAATTACCTCGGCCAATCATTTTTACAGGATCTATAGAATCCGAGAGAATGTGAAAATCATTCAAAATAATTTTAATGATTAATCATTCTAGTAGAAAATAATTCTCATAAAATTACCGTGCGCTGTCAGCGGAGGTGATGGTGTTGTTGTTAAATTTGTTGATGAAGACGGATTTGGAAGTTCGATTGTGATAGCCAATTGCGGTGCTTCGGCAACGGCCATCACGAGTCTGATCAAAATCGTTATATTTTGAGCCATTCCGCTTTTTCCTTTCAATGTTTAGATCTCAGTAGTGCAATGAGAAACTGAGATATGAAAAACAATCGGTAAACCCCCTTTATATAAATGAACAGAGGACACATGATTCTGACGCTGTAACGTAATACTGATCTCAGAATAAATTTTCCGTCTCTGTTTGCGTAAATCGGGTAAAGAGATTCGTCAGTGTCTTCTGCGACAGGAAACGGGAAAAAAGGTGCGGCAATTCAATAGACATTATTTCTGTCCTCGGTTGATTTATTGCTTATTTAACATTCTTTGAAATTTACTGGCATACGTCAACACAATTCATTAATATTTCATTTTCCTTATAAATAAAAAATTCCTGTAGGCGAAAATTCATAGGTTTTCCTCGATGATCAATTGTAATATTGCGATCAAAGTTTTCCTCGATTTTAATAGGCGGCTACTGTCAATAGGTAAAATGTTCTAGTGAATAGCTGGCCATGCCAATGTGGGATCATGTCCACATTCTTATACATTCCGTCATGGGGATTCATCATTTCAGTCTTCTGTCTATGTCCGTCAACTCTATAATCCCTCGACAGTTTTCCCTCATGCACTCCCCACTCTAGTAGTTTCTGAACAGCTCGAAGCTGATTGCCATTTATTATCACATGATTTCGATCTCCGATCAAGCCAATCAGAAGGTACTGTGTAGGAGAATCTGATGCATGGAACACTTCAGTGTCCCAACCACAACCTTCATAAATGTTGCCATCGCTTCCAACTAAGAAGTTGTATCCGATGCTCGGCCAATTGTTGATTTCAGTGTGATATCTTCGCAGACCGGTCATACGTAAAGAGCATTCATGAACGTCGTAACAAGGTCCGGTGCCGGTGTAACTTATCAGGACGTTTGATACAGGTAGTCTCAAACGTCGAATTGGATAGTGTATTAGATGCGACTGGTGCTGCACGCGATGGTAAATTTTTAGTCCATCTAGGAGAATAGATATTTTGCATTATGATATCGTTTTTCTCTTTCAAAAGAGAAGTTCACTTGGAGAATAAAAATAAGATGTCTATATACTAAAGACTTACTGCTTGTGAGTTCATATGATGATGCCGCAGATATAATCAGCAATACCGTCAGTAGATTCAGTGACATCTTATTCGATTGACTTCTCGTTTAAAATGTACAGAGAAATGTGAGATTCACTTGTGATCGAATTTGTATTCGGGCAAAATCGGTAAATGGTGATGAGTGCGACGAGTGCTCAAGTATTTAACGAGCGTGAGTTTTTGGACATCCGTGTTTCATTGTTTAGGAAAACAGATGAGTTGATAGTTATCTTATTCCTTGTGAGATTAAATTTCACAGTTTGGGGGTAATGGTTGGAAAATTTCACAGTCCATTGTAAAGTCAGGTAAAGACCGAGGGATTATTCAGAGGGCATTTCTAATCACGAGGGATTAGTGATATTACGACGGGTCAGGGTAATAAGCGGAAACGCCTCGATCTGGGAATGGTTTTAGATCCTCTTTCTCATTTTCTGTAATACGGGATCGATGGAATGTTTTCCACGAATTTCACCTGTTTGTGGACAACTTTTCGTTTGTTTGCGAGAAATAAATAATTTTTAATCAGAGTTTACTTTCCTCATTCGTGTCGATAACAAAAAAAAATTTATTGGCAAGCACGTACCACATAACGATTGTGCATTCTATAATAATATCATTACGCGCAATAGAATTTATCATCACGCATCATCATGCAATCACATTTTTAATTGAATTATTTGATTAGCACGATCAAGGTCCCTCACTCCAATGTGGCCACGTCTGGATAATTTTGTAGAGCTCATCTCCTGGACTTAGGGTTTCAGAGAGTTGTCGGTGACCCAGTAGTTTATAATACTCCGCTAGTTTTCCCATATTCACACCTACCTCGAGTAGATTCTTGGCAGCTGTCAGTTGTTGGTCACTGGGGGCTAGCGCGTTGAAAGTTCCGATGAAACTTATCCCTATGCTCTTCTTGTTGTAATTGTATGTATGGGCTCCTTCAATTTCCCAGCCACGTCCCTCGTAGATGTTTCCGTCGCCACCCACCAGGAAGTTGTATGCAATGTCATTCCATTTGAAAATCGCAGTGTGCATTGTTTGAATCGCACGAACACCCTGGGAGCACTTGGCTTGGGTGGAGCAGAGTTCACCTGCTGTGTGACTTATTATCACGTACGGGGGTGGAACGACTGATAGTGGAGTTGTTTGATTGATTGGTGGGTCTCCACCCCATTCCATTCGGTTAATTATTTTTATACCATCTGTAATTGAATAGCCTGAATTTCAGTCGATCGTTATTTTATGAATATCTTCAACAGACAATTTCTAAAAATAAATAAAACTCACTGTCTTCAACTGATGCTGATGACACTGCAGCTATCAATAATCCTCCCAAAAAAAACGTATTGCACATTTTTTTTCTTCTAAAAAGTCTTTTTATTAATTTTAGAACCCGAAACTCGGGTGTAAACGCCAGTCAACCGTTGTGTCTTATTACTGAAGAGAATTTTATTACTGTATCATAGGAAAGGTTATCAGTAGGAAAGCCACTCCTTCCACGGTAGTTGATATCATCTTCAAGGTTTTTCCTGGTTATAAAGAATAAAAGAAATCGGTGCTGGGAATCCCCTGTGGTCGTTCTTAGTATAAATTCGATCACTCAATGATCGTATCAATTTGCTTATCATCCATTTATTCAGGATTTCATCAGTGAATTAATTTAACAAATCAATAAATCAGTTGATAGACGAGTTTTATTAAATCTGATACATTAAGAATTAACATGGTACAGGAAATTAAACGTTGATTTACATTAACTCAGTATAATATAAATTGTAAGAAACACGTCGACGACATAATGAAACTATGTGAATTATCGACTGCAACATATAAATAACGAAAAGCGTTAAAATATTCTCCACGTATAATATGTACAGAAAGCGTTGACCTATCGTTGGTCTCCAGGGGTAATGGTGATGGTTCAGATGAACAGAGTTACCATTTTCCATACCATCCACATTATAAATAATCCAAATAAAGCTTTCGTTGCTCGATACAACCAGAGCAGTCTGAAATGATAAACGGGAATAGAAGATAGAAATAAATCCGGTAGAGTCAAAGGTTTCGCAGATATTCAATTAAAAAATAGGCATAATTACTTCTGTTGCCTTTTGTAGCTGGCTGGGAGTGTGTTCAGATCCTCTTTGAGAAGATAAACTTTGATGCCTTTCATGTAGGTCTTGAAGTATTCCGGCCAATCCCATCCCTTCAGGGAAAACTTGAAGTACTGCTTGTCTTTGGTATCCAAATTGTTCCACATTTGTTGCACATTATCGGATGTGAACTCCCAGTCTTTCAGAGTGAAGGGCTGAATGAGATTCAAGTACTTCAAAATTTTGTTCAGCATTTGATGCATCTGTGGTTTATTTCCAGTGCATTTTGCGAATAGGTCGATGATTATCGCGGGCAACAGATGAATGAATATAACTAATAGAGACCAGTAGAGTTTAGATGATGTGGGAGTGAAGGTGACGTGCCATTTTGATTTTAAAGCGGGGTACATGCTGCCAGCCGCTTCACAGTAGTTGTAGTAGTCTGTCCAAAAGAGTGGAGCATCTACTGTTGATACGTAATTGTAGACCATCATTTTTTCTTTTCTCCTGAAAGCATTAGTTGTTGGTTATTTATTATCAATTGTCAGTTTGAATCGACTGAATGGTCATGGATTGTTCAATAACCTGTCAGATCTATTTGCCACGTCCCATGCTGAGGCTATCAGTGCATTAGTAGTGTAATCCACCGGTACCACATTGGCTCTAACCGCTGGATTATAATACACACCCCTCAGCAAACCCAACTGTACTGCTACTGTGGCACCAATGGGCCCGTAATAATTATCAGTCCATCCAGGCAGTGGCTCCTCAGCAGCCGATATTACTGTAACAAAATATCAGATGATTCCATCAATTTCAATTCAATTACTTCTCAAATACTTCTATGCATTCTCAGTTTCGGGGAAGAGTACTTCAATCGATCTGCAGACAATCTCGAGGGTTCCCCTGGTTTCTGAATCACTGAGTGAATCAGTACCAGAGACTGTGGAATGGGATAATGAATAATTTCTCATTCTATTATTTCTTGTTAATTCATCGGAACTTGAAATTGTCTCCAACGACTCTCTCTCCATAGTAACGAAGTCATCCTCGAAGTTGTATTCAGGGTACATAGTCTCCGAGGGTTCAGGGGTGTCAATCTGCATCACTCGGTGATCAGGACGGACGACCCCGTAAATTAGAGCACAAATGAAGAGAATAAATTTTCCCGTTAGGGCTAAAACGAACAGACCAAAGGTCAATAGCACTTGAGATATCACTGTGTAGACTCCAGTCATTAAATACATGGCAATGGCCAGACACATTTTATCATTTCTTCAATTCTCATCAATTTAAATAAACCGCAGAGACTGTTTATCCTGAAGTTATCTCTCGTTCCAAAATCGTTAACATTCAATTATTAATTTTTATTGGAAATTATCAATGAATTTCAATCATTGACTCACTTATGCCAGGCCTGAATATTCCCACAGGCATATCCTTGCTTCCCTTGTGAATCACTTGCTCAGCAAGTGCTTTAGTGTAAGTGTACGTGTTTGGCCATTTCTGGAGAAGGCTGGAATAAATAATGATTAATCGTTAAAATAGCTAGGAGAAATAAGCGAATTTTATACTTGTCTTCTGAATGCATAATCAATTAGTAATTGAAGCAATGTCTCGTTACCTCGGTAACATCTCATCGATAGCCTCATCTGATAGACTGTTGACCATTTTATCGAGTTTCTCATATTCCATGGAGTAGGTGTAGATGCATTCTCCGATTTCGTCGACGTGGCTATTAGAGTAAACCGTCGAAACGTGAATCATTGCCTGAAATAAGTAAAAGGAAATCAGGACAATGAATTTTTATCGTAGATGTCCTGGCATCGAAGAACAGGCATTAATACTCTCGAGGTTGCGGAGGTCCTTTGAGTATCCCCGAAAAACATTTAGTGTAAAGAAAAAAAAACGCATTATTCCTCGGAAGTAATGAATAAATTATCGTTTGTAATGGGTGGAAAAATAATGATAATTTATGTGCATTTTGGGGGGATTCTGAGTAGTGAATTAGCACCTCTGTCGATTCTCCGGTTGCATTTCAAGGTAAAGAAAAATTGCGCAAACTTATACAACAGTGTTGAATGCACTGTTGAATCAACTATTTTTATTGGCACTCAAAGGACTCTTCAGTGTCTCTACCCATTCGCATTGAAATTTATCAGGTAGTATTTTTCGGTATTAATCCACTGAAAATTAATTGAATCACATTGTCGACGATAAATTAAAAAACCTCGGGTTGTGCAAGTTAAACTTTCTTTTTCGCTGTTATTATTCCTGTCAATTTTCCTAAATACCGACTGTAATTGTTGAAGCGGTTGTGGAGGGGGATATTATGCAGTCAATTCATGAATTGGAGTTTGATTTTTTAATTGTATTCATAAACGTGCCTCGGGCATACTTCGTCGTACTGTTGCGTTTTTGGGTGACGTAACTGAATAAAGCAGGTACGTGTGACTGCGAGTGTAACACCAATTGCCGACGAGAGAGATTTCGGCCTGGTGGTGACCCCATTAGTAGGGATGGATTATGAAATATTACCTCCCTTTATGTGCAGTGTGTGATGATTAAACATTGCACTTGTGAATGTACAGGTTGCAATGACTTTCAATTTTATTTCATTTTCGGTCATGCCGGTTAAAACTCACCTTGAGCTTCTTCATTTCTCTGCATAAGTTTAACATTGCCAAGGAACCACCAATATTTATCGCTGTTGCAATACGTAGTTTTTCGTCGAAACGCACAGTTGCTGCACTGTGAAAGACTATCGATACCTGAGCAGTAATTTTTATCATTGTTACAATTGAATTGGCTCCATTAGATTATTCGTTTCATCGGTAAATTACCTCTCGAATTAGAAGTTCTCGATCACTCTCTGATAAACCAAGATTCGGCGATTGACAGTCACCGGCAACCGCGACTAGCTTGTGCCGAAACTTTGGGGAAGTCTTCTTGAGATTATCGAATATCTAGTAATTAAAATTCAGGTGTATTGTTGAAAAATTTTGGAGAGATCCAATTTGGGAGAGATTATTCTCCTGGTGCTCACCAAGTCATTGAATAAATCATCAACCCGATCAGCGACATTGTGGCCCTTCTTGGACCTCACCATGAAATAAATAGTTGAAATATCGGGGCAGCTCCTCAGGAGTTTTTCAATTACAGTCTTACCGAGAAATCCAGTGCCCCCTGAAATGAATTTCCATGAATGTTTCAACTCTGAGTGAAAGCTCCAGTGTAAACAAATCAAGGTATCAGTGGGAACAATGTACCTGTTATAAAGATATTCTGATCGGCGTAGAAATCTTGAATTGGTGTTCTCGTATTTCCCCCATTTTCATTTATGATATTGGTCATGTTGTTGTTATCGTTGATCCTCAAGTCGTTGCTATAAACACCTGAGCCCTGAGGAAGAGAGATTAATATTTACTTTCATCAATTGACACAGTGCAGTTATGAAATGCAACAAGTGTCAAAGTCGCGCGCTTTCTCTACGTTCGCATGCTCAGTTGGGCTTTTATTTATTCCTTGCCTATTTTTTAATATCAATAATGAAAATGGCATTGATGAGACGGACATTTTTTTATTTTCCACTGCTGGACAGTTGGGACGAACGATTCGTTGGCCGATAGGAAAGTTAATCGAATAATCCTCGAGTTTTATGTAACGGTGAAGCCGGGGATTACGAGATGAAGTTATTATTACGTTAGGATTATTACGCTAAAGGCTCGACTGTAAGAATGATTTTTTAAATTATTTTGCATTTTTTCTTTGTCTGGACTTTCTTAACTTTCACTAGTGTCTTTTTTCCTCTCTACTTCGATAACTCCATATCGCTTTATTAATGCAAATTAATGGGTTTTTAGCAATTGTTTTGGTAGGATATTGATTTATTTATTGGTTGGAAGATGAAATTCAATTTCTCCCGCATGAATTTCGTACGATGAACTGAGTCGGTTTCACTTTCATCGAAACCGCGATCGGCCCAGTCCTTTGGAGAAATTCGCTCGCAATTGTAATTACAATTTAATACAAATAATCGATATTATTTTTTTCTTCATGATAATTATTCCTCGAAATTGAACGAGAATTATTAATTGAAGATAAATATGAATTAAAATCTTGACCCACTTATTTTTAGTCGATCAAATGGAAAAGTGCGAGGTGAGTGAATTCCTCCGAGTGAATTACTGCATCGTACCCATTAATAATTGAAACACGGCATTTTTTCGGGGCATTACTCGACTCTTTTTCGAATCTAGAATTAATTATTCTATTGATCGTAATAACAGCATTTACTAACGTCGTTGTTGCATCCAGGCACACCGTTCTCCAGTAACATATTCTACTTACACTAATCACTGCGGAATTGATTGAAAAGGGATGAAAAATGGGGTGGGAAAGAAAAGTGGTGGTTTAGGGTGGGAATTTTGAGAGAATATAGTGGCAATCTCTCGTTGCCCACTTTACCGGATTGACCGATAGTGAGAGAAAAATATTTTCGACACTTGAATAGCGTTGGTAACACCTCGAGGTTGCTGAACACACTGAGACAGGATTCTCGGACAGCTGGCGAACTAACCCACCGGGGAAGTTTGCTTCTTCCATCGCCCCTCACTTTACGCCCAATAATACTGGCACACAGACTCAATATTTCTTTATACTTCCTCCCTATTATCTCTTTATTCATTTTTCTTCATCCCAACTATTCAAACCTCATGGTTTTATCCCCCACGGGAATCCCTTATTCTTGTACATATTCTAACACGTGATAGTCTCTTCTCAACATGTTTATGTTCAGTTGAGAAGATCGAAAATCTTTTATTTTATGGGGTTGCCAAAATCTTTACCTTTCAATTTTTTTTATCACTCTATAAATGGTCGAGGTATGAGCACATTAATTCGATAATGATCAATTAATTCCGGTGATAATTTATGATTGATAAAGCATTAGTTCACTAGGAGGCGGACACTCGAGTAAAATTACATTGAAATCGGATAGTCTGACTGCGTTGATCTTGATATCGTCAGTGAATTTGGTTTTGTGCAATGCCATCTTAATAAAGTCTTCACCCTACTCCTAAATCTTGAGGTGACGTTCAAGGAGACGTTTCAAGATCTGGCACGTGATTTTATATTTCTTGGGGTTACAGGGGAAAGTCCAGATCTATCGTGACTATGACGAGTCAATACTATTAAATTATTGACGCTTGATCCATCGATTTTTCATGCTCGAGTTCCGGGATTTTTTTGTTGTTTTTTATTTATTCAAATCGCAGAGGGATTGGAAGATGTTCTCTGATGTTAACGGTTTTTCGACTAATCTTTTCTATTTGTCGATGGTAATTGTTATCAGGACAAATATTATTTGTTGACTGCTCAATATTATTTCCTTTTCTTACCACTTTAAATGTGATTTTTTGACGTTCACTATGAATATTCAATGAGCTTCACGTGGGTACAGAGATCTAATGATCAATTATTAACTTGAGTTGAGAAAAAAGAATGACCGCATTGCAGCCATAAAACTGTTTCTCTGAATAATAATTGAACTGATACGAATTATCATCTTTCTTGAAAATATTCTGCTGATTCTATTCAGAAAATAAAAACTGAGAGTGCTAGAACCGTCCCATCACATTATGCTTTCAATTACAAGCTACGTAGAATCACAACCCCACGATTATCTCAGCAATAATTCCAAATTCCAAAATGAACTCCATAAAAAAATTGCATCGATGAATAATGGACGAATACACGATGCACCGAGAAAAAAATTTGGAAAAATCTCCGCTCGAGTTTCGTAATTACATCTCGGAAGTATTTTTTCGTACTTTGCACTTGAGTGTATTGTGTAAAATACAGAGAGGACTTGCACTGATTTAATGGGAAGAGTGAGGGAACAAAACGCATGGCCTAAATCTTCTTATTTTTTTAAATATAACCTGTTTGCGTAATCGCGGCAAGCAAATGAGTATGGTGAATTATACCCATGATTTGTTATACAATGAATTGTATGGAGCGAGAAGGATGGGAGTCATCGTTAAATGATGTAACCACCATCAAGTCACGATACTTGGCCTAGAGGAATTGGCCACATAGATGTTTGGATATTATTTCGCAACGTGAAAGTCGAAAGATCTTCACGTGATGGAATTTTTGGTTCTTTCACCGCGTATGTTGAGAGCTCCATTCTGCAGAAATCATAATACCCCATCATTGATTCTCGATGTGGTTTGATATTCATCTACCGCCCATTAATATAAGACATAAATCAATTCTATTGGTTTTTAATATTTTATTCATTCAGCATTTACAACATTTCGTTTACAAGGATACAAATATTTTCTAGAACCATTAAACCTTATTAAAATTCTTGTACTATTCCCAGCTTTGAACTTTGTTCATATCATTAGAGTTGAAATATATTTGGGAAAATGGATGTATCTTGAATGATCGATACCAGTGATCTGCAGTCGAGGTGATGTGAGGAGAACATTTCTGTACGTACATTCCGATGAGTGAATGAAAAGTGATATATTTATTAGGTAAATTTATCATATGGCGACAGGCTCGGAGATTGTTGAGAAAGAACTCGTCAAGCCCCAGGAGAAGACGAAAGACAGGAAACTGTACGTCAGCCAAAAGACTAGTCCAAAGAATCCGTATTTTATGGCTCTGTGCAGGACGAGGAATCTGTAATGCAAGAAATTGTTGGTTTAATTTTCGTCTCATAGAGTAATTATTATTACTCGTACTTTGCCATCCGCTTCTTTGCGATTGGAATTGTGCTAGGATCATCCTTGAAAGCGTAAAGTCTCAGACCAACAACGCACTTGTAGAGAAAATCATTCCAGTCGAAATCCAACATTGAGAATTGGAATAATTTTTTGTCCTCAGGAGTTAAATTATCCCACAGCCCTCTGGTATTTTCATTCGAAAATTTCCACATGTGAGTGCTAAAGTAAGCTGTGACGGCTGCGAATTTGTGGATTTTTCTATAAATTTTTATCGCTCTGGAAAGAAAAAGGCAGTTATCAGAAATTCAATGGCGAGAAATGTGGAAAGTAGTTCACGTCTACTTTAATTTCATTACTTGGGCTTTTGGCCGATGACGCAAAGACCAATATCCACCAACAATGCTGGAATAATGTGAAGTAAGAGACTGTAAATATAAAACATGACTGGATTGCTAGTTATTGTCAGGGTGTAGCACCAGAGGGTTCGGACTGCTGGCATTTTCATTCCATATTTCATGGATAATTCCATGTAATCACCCCAGGATATTCCGTTGTTCCAGGATGAATAGTAATTATAGATCGGTGGATCTGCAGCCTCATTTCTTGTAACAGAAAAATCATCATAACGATTATCATGATAATTAGCAATAGATAATTTGGGCATGATGAAGATTCTCAAACTTTCCCTGTTTCAAAAGAGTCATGAGAAAATTCACGCTGTCGAGGTCAAGACTTTTTGAGAATGATAGTTTATCGGATGATTTCGAATGACTTTATGTCCGGACGTACGATCAAACCGGTCTACAGTATTACATAGGAGCTTAATCTCCGAATATAACTTGGAATGTGGACTATTATGTAAAGCTTAGTAGCTGAAGAAAAGAAGAACTTTCTCTGCAAGATTTAATGGCGCGTTATTATCTAATTTTTTATTGGTTTTTCCTCATTGATGAGCATTTAATGTGGGGTTTAGGGACTAACTTGTTGTTCGCTACGTCCCAGGCCGTTGATATCAGGGCATTGACAGTGTAATCAACTGGAACAATTTCGGCTGTGCAATTTTTGTTGATTTGGAGAGTTCTTATCAGACCTGCTCCAGCACCAACTAGAGCACCTGTAGGACCGTAGACGTTATCTATCCAGCCAGCCACGGGTTCTTTATAACTAGAAACAACTGATAGATACAATATTTTAGTATTCCATATAATTATCCACAATTTTTCACTTCGTGTAGGGAAAAGGGATTCAATATGAATTGAAAAAAATCACCAATTGCTGGACGAAAGATTCCAATAGGCAAATCTTTTCCGTACTGCTTCACCACTTGCTCCGCAATTTGTTTGGTGAACGCATAACTATTAGGATAATTTCCTAACAGAGTTGGTGTTATTTTCTCGAGTTTACTTTCATCAATACTTTGGACTAGTTCCATGATGCTATCGGCAGAGATCGTTGGAGCATAAAACTTCTCGTCAATGTTGTCTCGGGTACAATTGCTGTAGGCGGTGGAGACGTGAATGACTGCCTGGAGTAATTGTATTGATCAAGAATAATAACATTGATTGGGCGCGGTAATTTGTAGATATTAAAGTGTTTGTTTACTCTGAGATTAGCAATGCTTCGGCACAGGTTGAGAATCTCCTTGGGTCCTCTGACGTTTATGGTGACGGCATCCTTTATTTTCTCGTCAAAGCGCACCGTCGCTGCGACGTTGAAAACAATTGTTATTTCTCGGACAAGTGAGTCTCGATCCCCAGGGGATAATCCTAGTTCTGGTAAGGCACAGTCACCGCTCACTGCTGCTACTTTGTGCCGAAATTTCGGCACTTCGATTTTTAGACGCTCAAAAACCTGCAAAAAATATGAGGAGCCACTCTAATCGCTTGGTTGCAACGCCTAAATCTATTCCAGTATCTGGACCATTGTCACAATAAATCCCTTTCAGTGATTTCAATTGTAACATTCACTATCCTAAACGGGATTAGAACCCACGCTTTTGCTCGGTTGCAAAATTATAATTATCCGGTTATCAGATTGCTGTCTTGTCGATTGAGCCTTTCCTCAAACTAATGTTAGTTGAAAATATCTTTCAACTCCTGAGACTATCGGTAAATTAATCCTCATTACATTTAAATATTTCCTAATAACAAAAAAATCACATTAATCTACACTCACAGGATCGTCGAAGAGGGTGTCCATTCGCTGAATGACACTTTGTCCTTTCTTCGATCGCACTAATAAATAAATCATTGATACATTTGGGCACGATCTCAGCAGCTTTTCAATCAGGATTTTGCCAAGGAATCCGGTTCCACCTTGAATATCATAATAATACCCTTGATTATATTATGGAATTGCACAACATGGCATTTGAACATTTTGAATATTTTTACGATGTTCAATCATTGTTGTTCCATGAAATATTGATTTATTATTTGCTAAATCATCAAGGGAATTTCAACGACATTAAAAAGTCTCACCTGTAATGAAGATACTTTGACCAGCATAAAATTTCTGAATGGGTGTTTCTTCAGTTGTTGGACTCTCATTATCCATGATAGTCATCTGAGAACAATGAAAACTACTCATTTCCATATCAATTAGCTTTGTGGTAATCATTATGAAGTTATTAGTTCGACATTACATCATTCTCAACAGCTTGATCAGACGGAAAATGGTTCGCACGCGGTTTTGCCCTGTCCACTTAATTCCAACGAGAAATAATGATTTATGAATAGCCATTAGGGGCCAAAGTTACTTTTAATAAAACCTCCAGGTCCAGAAAAAATGGGAAGCTGAGGCCTTGATCTTGGATTGATCTTTGATTTTTTTTTGAAACAGAAAAATGACCCTTTTCTTTAATGGAAATTTATTCATCAACCGGCAGTTGATTTTACATATACTCTTCTCGATGATAATAAAACTGTCAGACACGGCGAGGGACTTGATGCCGAATTTTTGTGAAAATAATATTCCTTCAGCATCCATCTCTTCAGGTGTTCTCATCTGAATATCTTACTAAGTTTGCATTTAACTTTCTCTCTTAGCTAATCGGTATCATAATTGAGTGAACTCAAGTCACATTTCGTAATGATGTTGATAAACGCTATATCATAATAATTCAAGTATTTCAGGGTGTTTCCATTATCTCCATATTTTGAGGGCCATACGTCATACAATTATGGTGGTGGCGTGTTATTGACAGGTTAAATGTCCGTGAATTAGTAATTATAGTGGAATTCGTGGACTCTGCAGCCAGGGACATTTTAATCTCAATCGGATAGCATTTATCTGGAATGGCAATTGATTTGATGTGGAGCAATAGTTTGTCTGCTCCCTCGGTTCATTCACTATCAAAGCTTCTGATAAATAATTGGCATGACCGAGAGGAAATGTCATTCCTGCAGAATTTTAATCATCTAGTGGATTTATTAGGTCTCTTCGGAGTCTGATTGAATATCAGTGTTATGTCATGTTTTTAACTATTTATGGGACTTGTCGTTCATCATTCACAGGCCGCAACTCGCGGTACCAAACATTAAACGCGTGCTGAGGTAAAGTTGTTCAACATTGCTAAAGAGCTTTGGAATTTTCCAGTTACTAACGAATCCTCATTAAAACATTACTCTCAGTTCAACATTTCCCCCAGAATTATCGATGAGTAAAAAAAATATTTAAGAAGGAAACGTCCATATTGATCCATTCAAAATTTCTAATCTTTCAGTCCTCAATGACATAAGAGAATATTATTAATAGGCATTCGATTTTATTCCATATCCCCCCCCAAAAAAAAATAAGCTACTTGAAATTTTCATGATGTTTCCTCCAACTGAGATTTCTAGTTTTCCAGAAACCATGACACAATTCCGGAGAGAAAACTCGTTGTAATCTTTAACGATGTTACTTAATCGCTCATAAGGTTTATGTCATCTAAAATTTTTTATACTGGAATCATGACATCGTTGAAACTAATGCAGGAGCAGTTTGGCAGAATTCCAGGGAATTCTGTCACATAAAAAGTTGAAATGTTCTCTTCATTTTTGAATCCACATTGTCATTCAATTCTGGGTAAATAATAAAAGCCATTGGCATTCTGCTGTCACGCGCTATTTGCAATTGAACAATTACCCGTAAAGCACAGAGATTAATTGTCCCCAACTGACACTAATTTATGGATTATCCTGGACAAAACCATTTATTCCTTATGCACTCATCATAAACTTTCATTCCCACTCAACTTGAATTCCATGAAGTCATATTTATCGTACACTCACCTTGTCACTAACAATTCTCCTCGCCAAGTGAATGTGATCAGAATCCTGATCAATAATATTTCAAGTTATTAATCACTTTTGCTGGAATTGGCACATTTATTGGATATTTTCATTGACAGGTCCTGTACACCAGCACTTGTCTCACGGTGGTACAGAGTGCAACAGTTTGACTGTAGCGTACGTCTCTTATATAGGTGCGTGTCCCTTCCCTTCGACTAAACCTCGGCTATTCCGAAGACCACTGGCTAGAACGCAAAGATTCTGCCCATGGGTTTCCTTAACCCCGCGTGAGTCTTTGCCATCAGAAAAAATACTTTTTCCAATTGATTGCTCTTTCCATTTGACAGACCTCTTATTAACGACTTGCTAATGATTAATGATTCCTTAATCGGATTTTAATTTTTCCGGGAAAATTGATTACTTCATTGGGAAACAAGAATAGTGAGTCGTATCAGTAGGGAATATTTGTGCTGCATTTTCTTCTAGCTAGTCATGACCGTCCTAATCATTTGGAATAGTGTTTCTGATGTAATTACCTGATGCCTCAAGTTAGGAACCCACAAGGTGGTATGATCTTGTCCTTGATCAACCTAGATAAACGATCATAAAAGCGAACCCCATTATCGTATTAATAATCACTTCTAGAATATTTTTAAAGAGACCCGACAGCAGAGAAAGTATCGTTTAATGCGTCATAATATCGCTCGGACTCTCACTACCGAATCAAAAATTACGAATATTAGTGGATCTTCTGGAAGAGCTATAATTAATTTCGATGATGAACTCATTTTTTTATTAATACTTCAAATGCTCACTTTCACACTTTTTGTTCACTGATAGGTTTTTCTTACACGTTTAAAATTCTTTCGTCACGCTCTAATGGATTTATCTTTCAAATTTGTGCTCCATTGGGTATTTATCCCCAAGAATAATCGGAAGGGTTCACAACTTTCGAAAAAGTAATTAGTATGACTTAGCTCTTTTGTCGAAATTCTTAAATCTCCACTAATCCCTTAAAAAAATATCAGGCCCATTATAGCTATGTGAAGTTGGCATCGAAGTTTGAAAAATCTAACTTTTTTTTGTTGGTTTGGATTGTACTCATTGAGTACTTGAATGTACCCTGTGCACTTTTTTTTGTACCCTCTTACTTTAGCCCTGAAGCAGGGGGGCAAAATCGTGCAGAATCGGAGTTCAAGAAAAAAAAAAATAAACGTGG